TCTTCTTCTTCTTCTTCTTCTTCTTCTTCTTCTTCTTCTTCTTCTTCTTCTTCTTCTTCTTCTTCTTCTTCTTCTTCTTCTTCTTCTTCTTCTTTATACTGACCCGAGAATTCCACCCAGATTTATGCAAGACTCTGTTCCCTTACCGAGGCCCTCGAACGCTTTTCTGCAAGAGTGGAAACACTGCAGGCTCAGAGACATGATCTGCACGAGTTGGAAGCGCAGCTCGGTCTGATTGAATCCGATAATGGTCCTCTGAGGGACCCAGTCACGGTTGTTGCGCGAGCGGAATCCAACGACAGGAGCACAGCCGCACACGCCCTGCTCCAGCATCTCAATATCTCCACGCATGTTCGTGAAATGTCTCAAATCGCAGAACTAGACAAACAGCTTGACGGACTCGCAAGGAGACTCGAGCAAAAATCTACCCAACACATCGCTCAGATCCTCCATACTTCTGAACAAACGGCGGACAGAAGACGTGTCGCTTTGGAGAGTATCTCTGAAGCGTTGGCCGCAGAGGAAAAGGACGAACTCGCCGTGCGGGCTCTAGCAGAGAGAATTGCCGCAACGCGAGCTGGTATTGAAGGTGCTCAAACCTGATAGTGCAAGAAACAAGGAGCGAGGCTGACTCACAGGGCGACTGGATGACAATCAGCAACATGTTCAGTCTCTGAGTGCAGGTCTGTGCCGTTCTTACTATACGGGTCGAACGGAAGGTGAGAGATTTGTCTCGATACGTGGCGTTCGTTGCCTGCTAGTGTCTGAAATCTCACCGCAACGGGAGGACATGAGCCAAAACATTCAGTAATACGAGCGACTTGGTCGTGGACATCGTGCGGAACTCTCACGCTCCCATCACTCCATCATACAACCATATTGCGAACATCGTTGCCAAATTCTCACGCACTCATCACTCCATCTCACAACCAAGAGACACAAGTCCCGCGGAGGCCGACGAGTGGCGGCACGGCAAAATCGGGCTAGGCGAAGGCTTGGCGCCAAGCTCGGAGGTCTTGACTGTCGTCAACTCAGGCCACAATCCCAGGAACTTGCCTCCTCCTTTGTTCTAGTGCCCACGAACTCTGCCGTCTGATTCCTCCGCCTATCTCTTGAACGCTCTTGGAGGAGTTCCCTTCTAGAACTTTATCAGCGACTCCCACTCCGCCCAGGCTTGGCCCGTTCCGCGCGTATGGGCGTGATGGTGCCTTTATCGCCACTTTTCCACCGTCGGGGGCGCGAACACCCCTCTGCCAAGCCTGGACTCGTGGTTGTTGAGAGTATCGTTTGTGGTCCAGCTCTTGGCTCCAAGGATAAGAAAATGACGGAACTCTTGGAAGTGTCAAGACGGGTGCGGTGGGTCGGAGTCTGTCACCCGAACAGATTACACTTCCCGTCTACATAAGACCTGGCTCGTGTCACTTGTGAAAGCATTCCACTTCTTCTCGGCATTCAAACAACCTAAAATATTTCCTTATTGCAGTGGCAGGTTTCCACCAGGCAAAATACGTCCACTATAACTTGTATCCAACTTCCACTACTGACATCACAGTACACTGTCGAGACATTGGTGGATAATCATCAGGACCAATATCTATCGTCCGCCCACGATGGGCAAGAAGAGTGCAAGGGCCGAACAAAGCTATTCCAAGCACCCATTCTTGCTTACGCCAGATGAGATTCTTAGCCATCTCGAGACAAATGCCGATTCGGGCCTGAGCAGTGCTCAAGTTCAGCGATATCAGGAGAAATATGGCCCGAACCGGCTGGAAGGAGATGGAGGGGTCTCGTGGTACTCCATCTTAGGAAAACAAATATCCAACGCAATGATTTTGGTATGTTGCAAATTCGGAGGTCTGGCCTTGAAGCTTGCTGACTATTCCACAGGTGCTGGTGCTTGCCATGGCACTTTCGTATGGTGTCGAAGATTTCGTCGAAGGTGCTGTCATCACCGCCGTCATCGTTCTCAATGTCTTGATTGGCTTTTACCAAGAGTTTCAAGCCGAGAAGAAAATGGACGCCCTCCGGTCCCTCTCATCACCTTCAGCAGCAGTTATGCGTGACGGCAATGAGATGACCATTCCGTCCGCGGAAGTGGTTCCCGGAGATATCGTCTCAATCAAGACTGGTGACACGGTGCCCGCCGATCTGAGAATGTTTGAGGTCATGAACCTGGAATGTGACGAAGCCATCTTGACGGGCGAAGCCCTTCCAGTCGCCAAAGAAGTCGAATTCGAAGCGAAGCACGGTACGCCCAAGGAAGATTTGGGTCTGGGAGATCGACTGAACATAGCATATTCGTCCTCAACCGTCAGGAAAGGACGTGGCCGAGGTATTGTGGTCTTCACTGGCATGTCTACCGCAATCGGAGGAATCGCGGCCTCAATGCAGGGTAAACGACGGCCGGCCAATCGATCCATGTCGAGGAAGAAATATGGTCGGATGCAGCCCGTGAAGGGTGGTGCATTACGCACTTATGATGGGGTTCGCAAGTTCTTGGGCCTCACCGGCGGCACGCCTCTGCAGATCAAGCTTAGCAAGCTCGCCTATATTCTCTTTGGCTGCGCGCTCATCCTCGCCATTATCGTCTTCGGCGTCAACCGCTTCAACGTCACCAACGAAGTTGCCATCTACGCCATTTCCACCGGTATTGCTATCATCCCAGAGTCCTTGATTGCGGTCTTGACCATTACGATGGTTGTTGGCATGACCCAAATGAGGAAGCGAAAGGTCGTAGTTCGGCAACTCAGCGCTCTGGAAGCCCTAGGAGGCGTGACAAACATCTGCTCAGACAAGACTGGCACCCTCACGCAAGGCAAGATGGTCACTAGAAAGGCCTGGATCCCTGGAGTCGGGATCTACAGCATCGAGAACTCCAGCAACGCCTCAGATCCCACAGAAGGGACCGTCATCCTAGGCAAGGCCCCGAAGTCACGCCAGGAGCACGAAGCCGAGCGTGTGGCCAGAGAAGAAGCCCTTGACCGCAAACGAAGCACTGCGGGCATCTCTTTCGACGTGCCCCACGAGAAGATGCATAAAGATGCCGAAAAATCATCCGAAGAAACTCTGACAGAGGGCCAGGAAAGCCCTGAGGTCACCGCAGAGCTCCAAGCATTCCTCGAGTCTGCCGCTCTCTGCAACCTTGCCACCGTGCGCAAAGTCACCGAAGATGGACAAGAGAAGTGGAAGACAACCGGTGACCCGACAGAAATCGCCTTACAGGTCTTCTCCCACCGCTTCCAGTACGGCAAGAGGACGCTCGAAGACGAGCACGGCTGGTCGCAAAAGATGGAATATCCGTTCGATAGCTCCATCAAGCGCATGTCGGTCGTCTACAGCAAGCCAGGCGAGGAGCACCTCATTATCTTCACCAAGGGTGCCGTTGAGAGAATCATAGATCTTTGCACATCTGTGGGCGTGGGTGGACACGAAGAGACCATGACACCAGCACTCAAGGAAAGCATTTTGGATCAAATGACCTTCCTCGCCGAACAAGGTCTCCGAGTTCTGGCCATCGCTCGGAAGTTCACAGACATGGAAATCAAAGAACACTCTGACGATAAGATTGACCGTTCCGAAGTTGAGAAAGACCTTTGCTTGCTTGGCCTGGCTGGCCTGTACGATCCACCACGGTTGGAGACCAAGGCCGCCGTTCAGGCTTGCACGACCGCTGGAATCACTGTCTCCATGTTGACAGGCGATCACCCTTCCACAGCCACGGCGATTGCAAAAGAAGTCGGAATCATCCCAAGGAACATGGGTACCTTGTCCCCCGAGGTCGCCGCCGCCATCGTCAAAACTGCCACCGAATTCGACAAGATGAGTGACGCGGAAATCGACGCGCTTCCGACCCTTCCCCTTGTCGTCGCCCGCTGTGCACCCGAGACCAAAGTCCGGATGATCGAAGCTTTGCACCGCCGGAACAAGTTCGCAGCCATGACGGGCGACGGTGTGAACGACTCGCCGTCCCTCAAACTTGCAGACGTTGGCATAGCCATGGGTCTCAACGGAAGCGATGTTGCCAAATCCGCCTCAGACATTGTGCTCACGGACGACAACTTCGCATCCATCGTCAACGCCGTGGAAGAAGGTCGGCGCATGTTCGACAACATCCAACGATTTGTTCTCCATCTGCTGACATCCAATGTCGGTGAGGTCATCCTCCTCATCTGCGGCCTGGGCTTCCAAGATCGATCTGGCTTCTCCGTCTTCCCGCTCTCACCCCTGCAGATCCTCTGGATCAACATGCTGACCTCGTCGTTCCCCGCCTTCGGTCTCGGCAGAGAAAAAGCATCTCCCGACGTGATGGAGCGGCCGCCCCATGACAACAGACGCGGTGTCTTCACCCTGGAACTCATCACCGACATGCTTGTCTACGGCACCATCCAGGGCACCTGCTGCCTGATGACGTTCGTCTTCATCGTCTACGGCCCTGGGCCCGACGGCCTGGGCCACGACTGCAATCACAGCTACAACTCGTCCTGCGACGTGGTGTTCCGCGCCCGGGCGGCCGTCTTTGCCGAACTCACGTGGCTGATCCTCATCTCGGCGTGGGAATTCAAGGCCATGCGGCGCAGCATGTTCCGGATCGACCCTCACTCGACCAGTAGCTTCCCCTTCTTCCGCGACATCTGGGAGAACCAGTTCCTCTTCTGGTCCGTCGTGTTGGGTGCCGTGTCCGTCTTCCCGGCCGTCTACATCCCGGGCCTGAACACCAGCGTGTTCAAACACAAGGGCATCAGTTGGGAATGGGCGCCCGCGATCGTGTGCGTGTTTGTCTTTGTCAGCGGCATGGAAGCGTGGAAGTACGTCAAGAGAGCGATGAGATGGTTCGAGAAGGAGGAGACCGAGGGCATGAAGGCCAGGAGACGCGAAGGCGGCGCCCTCGGCCTGAGGCAGGGCTTCTTCACCATGGCCAGGAGTTTCACAAAGAGTAAGAGTGAGGAGAAGAGGAACGTCATGGAGGTTGGAGATGTTTCCACACACGGCCACGGGCGTGGACCCGGCCATGCACAGGGGAGTGCACTGCCCCGGGTCAGGGAGGAAGTATAGATTTGAATAACCGTGTGTAATGTACTGTGTGTAAATGTAGAATGCATTCAAAAGGTGTGCCATACAGTAGCGCTTTTCAGCCTCTTGTCAGGTGGACAGGCGCAACGGAAAGCGGTTTGCATTCGTCCAAGGATAGCCACACGTTCGGAGCGATTGTGAGCGAGCACGTCTTCTCTACACCACTCGTCTCACAGCACCCACTAAAACGAAGAACAAAATGCACAACTCAAACGCGGGACCAAAGTCCGCCCGTCGTATCGCCAGATTCGATGCTGAACCGGTCGAGGAGGCAGGCGCGTCCGTGGAAGTCGTTGTCCCAGGAGTTGTCGTCGTCGTCGCTATGGACGTATCGCCCACCGAGGCATCACCGAAACGGCCACACCCACCACTCCAGGGAAAGATTGAGTTGCCCTCCTCCTGATCGCCCAGGCTGCCGACGTCCCCACTGGTCTGTGGTCGACAGTAGCATGAGTAAGGCTCTTGACTGAGAGTGCCGAACGTGGTAAAACATGCTGCTCCCAACGACGTGCCCGTCACGCTATCGTAATCGCAGTTGGCGATGAAGGAGTAGTTGAATACCCCGTGCTCGATGGATTCGTAGTAGGTTGCACAGACGCAGGGCCCCGAGACGTTGACGACACAGCTGACCTCGTCACAGCAGCGGATCACTCCGCACCCTAGGTCGTTGTATGTTTGGGACAAGGGACAGGCCATTGTTCTCTGTTGGCCTCAGGCGGGTGGAATTTCAAATGTACGTAGAAGGGGTGGGGACGAGTACGTTGAGAAGAGAGAGAGAGAGAGAGAGAGAGAGAGAGAGAGAGAGAGAGAGAGAGAGAGAGAGAGAGAGGTGACAGCGAAAGAGGGAAGGATACATGACCCTTTTATCTTTCCAGCCATGTCTTTGCATGTTGGGCTTCCCCTCGTGACTGGGTTCTCGTACTCACGCAGCCAAGAGTGGCCGAGACACGGAACGGACAAGAATACGAGAGAGAAGAGAGCAAGGCCCTCGTGGTCATGTTTGCTGGTGCCAGATTGGAAGAAGAACTTACCAGGACTAACTTCCAGGGTATCTAGCCTTCGGTATGTTGGCTCTCAGCAGTGTTGAGCTTGGAGGCAAAGAACACAGAAATTCAGGTTGGGACCGATGGTGTTCAGGGCGTCTCGACTGGGGTCGTGAGTTGAATTTTACGAAATAAAACCATGGTTTTGTGTGGGAGGTATTGAGGTATATGAGAACCTGACAGGACAGACAAACATATATCGCGCCGAGTCGACCCACCAACAACTTCTCGGTGCTATCTGTTGTGTAAGTAGATGCACGGTTTCGTGTCGTCGACAATGAAATTGGCGAAGCTGCATGCTGACAGACATTGGCGAATGGCCAGATGTCTGGATCTCTCGACGCCGATTGGCGAATCCTCTGCGAAGCTACTGCTCATTGGATGTTGTACTGCATGGCTGCGTCGAACTCGTACACAGTCAGGCTCGCGTACTGTTCTAGATTCTCGTCTTCACAAGAAACTCGTATCGTCGACGCAAGTAGGAGACTTCGCGCCTTCCTCAACCCATATGGATGGCGCCGGGATCTGCTTTAGGATGCTGCTGCAGAGATCTCTATGCCGAGAGTAAACTTTCTGGGGTAACATCGTCTTCATGCCTTGTCTGAGGTGGCTTGGGGAGCCGTGACAGACACTGCGCACCCGACGTCCGTCAGCCTGATGATTCTTCTCCGTGCAATCTAACACGAGAGACTGAGCAGTCTCAGGGATGCGGCGATACAGACACCCCTGCTCGTTAGCGAGAGTCCACGACGAACCCTGTTTCTTTAGCTAACACTGAAGTGTCATCGACTCTTGAATCATTGATCTTTTGGACACCTCAATGGGTTCGTACGCCGGGTACCCAGCATCTTCCAGAAATGGTAATCCGAGGCTATGAGTGAATCTTTCTAGCTTTCAACTACCGATGAGGCGTCGCACGAGGCGTGCGGCCTTCAAGGTCATGAAGGTAAGGACAAGTCGAGACTCATTCTTTCTCTGGCTTGGTCGTAGGAAGGATAGTGAGGGCAAACGATTGATGGATTTTCGTTTGTCTTGGATGACCAAGGATATCGGAATCGGCGAGATATTTCAAAAGAGCAGAACATACGGAGTATAATACATGCTTTTCTGCTCAGCGGACCGAGTACGAGTTACTAACCGCCCGTAATTCAGTTTCCAAAATCGGGTGAAGCTTCGCAACTCAAAACCCCCGAAGTTGTCCCGGTAGCGCTCAATGAAACGAATCGTTCAATTCAGCTCAAACCTCCCACTCGCATTTCCAGCAGACACTTAGCAGATCTACGGGTGTGAGAGTCTCAGGGTAAATCGGGCGATGCGCAGCTACGACACAACCAGTATGCAGACGATACGGTGACAACTGGGCAGCTGCAACTGCCTGAGCCCTTGATGAAGACATTGCTGATGGCTTCGCATGGCTTTCAAGGCGCCGCTCGACATGCCTCCTTCATCGCGGAGAATATCTCGCCGGCAGCCCTGCGAGGACGTGCGATAAATCCCTCAGCCCTTCCATTCAGGACCCAGAGACCGACTTTGACGAGTTGCGTAAGACGACAACGCTGTCTACGGCCGACTCGACACCACACTACCACTACTACAGCGGACTCGCCAGTGCAGTCGTCGTTGTCCTCCTCCTCCTCGTCCTCCGTCTCTCCCTCCGAAGTCTCCCATTTCTCCCGCCTAGCCTCATCATGGTGGGATCCGTACGGCCCCTCTCGCCTCCTTCACCTAATGAACCCCCTCCGCCATGACTTCATCAAGTCCTGTCTCCGGCGGTCCTCTTCCAGCACACCTCCAGACGCCGACACGCAGAAATACACCTACCTCGACATAGGCTGCGGTGGGGGCATCTTCGCCTCCTCAGCCGCCCGGCTCCCCCATACCGCGCGAGTAACGGCAATCGACCCCACGCCGGACGTGATCGCGGTCGCGAAATCGCACGCCCGCAGCGATCCGATCCTCTCACAATCCGCCAAATTAGAATATCTGAACTGTGCGATTGAAGACCTCCCCCTCTCCTCCGGCAGCCCCGAGTCCCCACCCCCCAATGGGCGACAATACGATATAATCACCGTGTTCGAAGTGCTCGAGCACATCGATTCACCTGCGTCGTTCCTCGAGACCGCGATTCCTCACTTAAAGCCCGGGGGGTGGCTGATTGGTAGCACCATCTCGCGCCACCCGATCGCCTACCTTACGACGAAGTTGATTGCCGAGGCGCCGGTGATAGGCGTCGTGCCGAGGGGCACGCACGACTGGAACAAATACATCAACCCGAGTGAATTGCGGCAGTATTTCGAAAGTGGGCGCGCGCCGGGGCGGTGGGGCAGTTTCGTCACACAAGGCGTGGTCTATCTCCCTGGTGTGGGCTGGAAGAATGTGACGCGAAGTGAAGACTTTGGGAATTACTTCTTCGGGGTCCAGAAATTGGAGTGACGGGCTCAAAATTGGTCAGAGTGAGCGCTACAATAGGTGAGAACCATGTTGTTGACGCTCTAAGGTCCTCCGCTCTGTTATCAAGCGTACGGAGGCGATACACATGGTTCCTGCCGCGCGGATCGGGGCTATCGGTCTTTCCGCCAAACTGAGCTGTGGCAGTCTTCAGAGTGGCCAGAGGGCAGGACTGTTATGTGGCTCATGGTGGCCATGGTACGACAAGCCAGGATGGGTCCAAGAAGACACTGTCATACATTGTCTCAACATTGTACTAATACAGGGTACGAATCGACAAAAGGTCGAATGTAGAAGTATAGAGTTAGGATGAGGACTCATGATATGCCTCACTGCATAAAAGGACGAAACTCGCTCGAGCTCAACTCACGCTACACAAAGAAGGGTATCAATGCATGTACCACGACCGTCCCATATCTGGAAGGGAGGCATCATATCTTCCTAGAGCCTTCCAATGACTCCCCATTCAGGTGACCAGCTGGAGTCGTCGACAAACTCAGCAGAATGTTGGCCATTTCCAATTCACCTCCTCCCTGCTCTCTTGCCGCCTCTCTTCTTCTTTGTTGTTGTCTTTGACTTGCCTCCGCCAGTCGGCTCACCATCAAGCTCGGCATCACTACTGCCTTCAGTGTCGATCTGCATAGCCGGTGGCGTCGTAGTGGATGGAACAAGAAGCCCTTCACTTATCAATTTGGCTCGGCACCCGCTGAGGATCTCCTTAACTTTGTCGTCATCCCAGTCCTTGCCGTGAGAGGTAGACCCGAAGATGGTGTTCAGAAGGGAAGCGTTTGCTTTGTCGAGCTCATCGCTGGAGGGTGGTGGTGGAGCAGTTGAGGTACTTGTCTGAGGCTGACTTGATGGTCCCGGACCGTGGCCTGGCGTATTCGCTGCTCTCCGCCGTCCTCTCACAGGTAAGGTCTTCTTCACTGCTGCTGGCCCAGCCTCTATGACCGCACCTTCAAGGTCTTCCGGTTCTAATTCTCCGTTTGCCACCATCTCCTGTAGCTTCCGCTGGGCAGAGATCTGCATCATCGCATCACGGTGTTCCTCTCTTAGCCCTTCCATCAAGAGATCTTTGGTAACATTTTCTTCCTCCAGTCGCTGTATCGTCTCCTCCAGCCTCTGGATCTCCTTCGTCTGGAAGGTTTGATGGTGCTCCATACGCTCCATCAGCGATCGTGAGATGGCTTGTTCTTCTTGGAATTTCTGACTCATGGTGCGGGCCATCTCTTCGAACTTGGTGCTGCGTTTTTCAAGACGTGCCTTTTCTCTCTCAAGGTCCGGGACAAGTCCTTTGGCAACAAGGTCATGCTCGCTCTCGAGAGCTTGGAGTCTCTCAGTGGCTAATCGACTCTCTTCTACCGCACGCTCGGCTTGCTTCGTCGCAACAGACGCCTTGTCAACGGCTCGCTGCACCACCTCTTCGAAGTATGTCCTTTGACTTTCCAATTGACTGGTGAGCAGATGGGTATACTCCAAAGCAATGTTGTCCAACTTGGCCATCTCAATGTCCTCCTGCCCTTGAAGAGCAGTGGGCTCACGCCGTCGGCCTGGTAGCTCAACTAACTTTTCACCGGGTTGCGCGGCGTCTTGAATGATGCGATGTACGTAAGCATCACCAATGTAATCCCAAACCCTCTTGCTCTCCAGTTCCATGCTGAATGTGTGGCCGGTCTCTTCAAAATGTGCATAGGCGTGTTTGCCTTCATACCTGCCACAGCCAATTTTGCCGCATATCAAGCATTGCCATAAGCTTGTGTCGGCATGACAGACTTCGCACTCCAACGGTCCATCATAGGCTTCGTAGTCACCAGCAGAGGTCTTGCTCTTCGATTTGGATAGGGTGAGCCGCGAAGAGAAGTCATCGTGAGTGTACCGACAAACAGGGCATCCACCACCACTCCATTTCTCGAGACATGTACAGTGGAAGACATGTTGACAGGGTATTGTCAACAAGCCAGTAGTCTCGTCCATTCTCTCAAGGCAAACAGGGCAAGTGGGAAGTTCAACGAGAGATGGCGTCCGAGGAGCTAGAGGTTTGGTGGTCGCTGAGGCTGGAATGAAAGGATCGTTCGACATGCGAGGATAGCTTGTTGTGGGGGAGCTCAGTCCACTGTTCTGTTCCAGCGATGAAGTCTGAATCAGTTCCACGGACTTGAGAAAGACGACATGGCATGTTTCTGGCTAAGAAGTGTCAGTTTCAGCTCAAAACCGACTCACATACAGAGCACTCACCTCCATGCTATTGAAGACCTTTCCATTCCACTCATATTGCCACTCTCTTGCCCGTTTCCCATTCTTGAATTTCATCAAAACCATATATCGGTTTGCTCTAGATGTCCGCACCATTCGGAAGTGGCTAACTTCGTTTCTTGTGCTCTCACCAACCCAGGACAGGAAGTCTGAAGGGGTCATATAGGAGGGAACGGCCAGTATACAGAGGGTCGTGCACTCTTCATCCCTCGGAGGAGGGTGAGGCCTCGCCGACGGTGCGTTGCGCACCCCATCGCTCCAAAGATCACTAGACCTGTATGCCGAGTCCTTGTACAACCCTGCTGTCTCTTCTGAGTCCCTGTAGAGATGCACAATACCCCAGCCCTCCGCTCCATCGTTACCATTTACAGCCTCAAACCGGCCCTTCATGTGATGTCCAGATATCGCACTTCCGATGCCTTTTTCGATTATGTTCTCCTCTTTACCAACCTCCACAACGCCTTCTGGCTGGGTCGACATGTCTGCGCCTTCGAGGACAATGTTGTCCAATCGGTGGTCTTTGGAATCAGAATGGGGGATCTCAAGGTGAGGTTGTTCAGGCTTCGCTGAGATCTGGGAGCGACCAGAATTCAGAGGTGAGTCTCGTCTTTGGTCGAACGAATGATCCCTCGATCGACGTCGTCCTGGGGTATTCCGAAAAGGTCTCAACGCCTTGAAGAAAGGCAACACGCTCGGAGGAGTCAGGTCTTCGGTCTGCTTGGGATTAAACGACGACTCAGTAAACAGTTCAATAGCCACGTGAAAGAAATAGTCCGGCATTATCGTAAGCGCATGGCTTAATGTCTTGCAGTAAGAAATCTGCGGTTAATACAGATAAGACGTAAATGAGAAAGAAATGGAGGGTTGAGCAACAACGAAAGCCGACGCAGCACACAAGGCAGTTTTTCGATACCGTCACAGGAACAGTGGCAAGTCACTAAATCGGTTCTAGAGGGCATGTCTCGAACCTTCCAATAGGCATTGTGAATACAGCAATTTTCCAAGGCGGTCTCTACAGGAGAGGATAATTGAGAGGGAGAAAGGGTGTGTATTCTGCTTAATGCTACCTCTCGCATGCTTGGCATTCAAAGCCAACGTGAGCAATGCTCTTTCGCTGCCCTATCATGAAAATGCCCCTGTTCGTGTCACCGATGCCAATAACCCGCCATGTCAAACGCCACGTGAATCATCAATTCAGGATCCGCCACCACCGTTTACTGACCACCACGCAGTCTCAGCACCAAGTGCAAGGTGCTCTCCTTCTGAATGTTGTAGTCAGATAGCGTCCGGCCATCTTCAAGCTGCTTGCCGGCAAAGATCAGTCTCTGCTGGTCGGGTGGGATACCCTCCTTGTCCTGGATCTTGGATTTGACGTTGTCGATGGTATCTGAGCTCTCGACTTCCAGCGTAATAGTCTTGCCGGTCAGGGTCTTGACAAAAATCTGCATGCCACCACGCAATCTGAGAACGAGATGGAGAGTGGATTCCTTCTGGATGTTGTAGTCTGAGAGTGTTCGGCCGTCCTCAAGCTGCTTGCCAGCGAAGATCAATCGTTGTTGGTCCGGTGGGATGCCCTCCTTGTCCTGGATCTTCGACTTGACGTTGTCGATTGTGTCTGAAGATTCAACTTCGAGTGTGATCGTCTTGCCAGTCAGGGTTTTGACAAAAATTTGCATACCACCACGGAGACGGAGGACGAGATGGAGAGTAGATTCCTTCTGGATGTTGTAGTCGGAAAGGGTGCGACCATCCTCGAGTTGCTTTCCGGCAAAGATGAGACGTTGCTGATCCGGAGGAATGCCTTCCTTGTCTTGAATCTTGCTCTTGACGTTGTCGATGGTGTCACTGGACTCAACCTCGAGAGTGATCGTCTTGCCGGTGAGGGTCTTCACGAAGATTTGCATACCGCCGCGAAGACGGAGGACCAGGTGCAGGGTTGACTCCTTTTGGATGTTGTAGTCGCTCAGGGTACGGCCATCCTCGAGCTGTTTACCAGCGAAGATGAGGCGCTGCTGGTCAGGAGGAATGCCCTCCTTGTCCTGGATCTTGCTCTTGACATTGTCGATGGTGTCGCTGGACTCGACCTCAAGAGTGATGGTCTTGCCAGTCAGGGTCTTCACGAAAATCTGCATACTGGCGGGAGTAAAGGATGTAGTGATCGATGTATGGCTTGATGGGATGGAAAGATCGAGAAAGACTTGTGAGTCTTGGATGGTTTGAGAGTGTTGTGGTGGTAAGAAGGAAAGGAAGAGATGCAGATCGAGAAGGCTTGCTTAAGTAGTTATGAATGGTCCGAGGGCGGCAGGCAGGCAGTGACAAGGTGGCAAGCGCAGTTGGAGTGGCGCCCGCAGTGGCCGGGCCAATCAGAATTCGAGGCCGTAACCCGCTAGTATCAGCCAGAAGGCAGCGGAAGCCTCCGACTGTCACCAGGAAATCATTATTCATTCACCCATTTCTTTTCGTTCTTTCTGCTCTTCACGCGCTTCACCTGAAGAAAATTGAATCACCCTCGACGATATTTTCATCGCGAAGATTGAAGTTGCGGCTTACTGATGCTTGTCTTTGTAGGCCACGTGAGCACTTACCTCCGACTACGGCGCTCATCTCCTTCCCGTTCCCCTCAAACCCCCACTTTGATGCCGTGCTCAACAGTCTCGACTTCCTGTACGAGATAAGGTGCGAGGACTCTCCAGCAAGGAACCTCATTCCCTTGCAGCTGTGCACATCCGTTATCAAAATTGTCCTCAAGCAACTCGCTTTGATGACAGATGAGCGGCCCAGCATCATGGGCCGGGAACCTTGAACTGGGACAGTTTGCCTCCCCCACAAAGTCAGCCTGATGACGTGCGTGGCACCAAGGCCCGTCGACATGACTCAGCTCTGCTCCGGCCGACAGCCTCGCTGTGCTCGTCGTTCTTCCGTCCATACTGTTTAGCGATTGAATATACGCCTTCACACAAGAAGAGCCAATGCTACCGTCCAAGTTGAAAGTCTGATTGGTGATCCAGAGTCCCGTTGGCCTGTGCAAGATACAACAGTATACCCCGAGACCTGCCACTATCTCAACTGTTGCCTTTCTTGTCAAACTAGGACCTACACGCACATCAGTTAGGAATTGTCACAATGGATTGTTGGATATATCACGTGTACGCAGGCATGGCTACTGGTCCCATCGCCAAGACAAGGACGTTGGCGGCGCTCGGACCAGCACGATACCACGAATTTCGCTCAAGGCATTCCTGAATCATCTGGCCCTCGTTGCTGTGTTCCCGGGCGACAAGGAAATTTTGTTTACTTTACCTCAATGGAATTCATACATCTCATTCTTGATGACGGCCCCTTGGGTCAAGCTTGCTTGTCCACGGTGTCTGTCCATGTTGACCTCGTCTCGAGCAGATCCGCCTAATTGCTCTTCGCACCCGACCACAACAAGCTTGAAGATGTTCTACCCAACAGTCGCCGATGAAGGCAGCTCCTTTGATGACTTCTTCAACGAGGATATGTACCGACATGACGGTAGCGATGAGGATACCAAAGCCCCATTCGACGAATTCCAAGACCTCTTCAATGATGCCTTCAACCAGGACGAATTCAAACTCCCGACTCTGGATACCTCTGCAACGAAGAGCGGGCACTCACCTCAGCCGTGGCGACAAGGCGTCTGGTGTCTGAAGCAAAGGCAGCAGCCTCCCAAATTGACTGTGGAAAAAACTCGGAGACACGACACAAAGAGAGCAGAGCCCATACAAACAATGAACAACCTCAATCATCACCTTCACCGTGCGCTTGGGCCAGTGTCGCCACTTGAAATCACCTCACCCAGTCGCACAAAGAGATTCGTAACCTCGCCCACCGCTGATGGATATGACCCAACGACATACGTACGGCCTCCGTTCTCTCGCGAAACCACTCTGTCCCCAAGCCCAATGTATGCGCAATTACCAATTTCACCTCGGCCCGGCCATGCCGATACGAGCAACTGGCAGCAGGAATTCCAAGATTTCCACTTGCGCTTGCCTCATGATCGTCATTTCCAAGCGCAGTCAAATCCAGGAAAGCAAGGGGCAGAGGCGCAATTGGCGCGCAACATGAATGCTGCCATAATGGCGCATAATCAGAGTGTCAACAGTCTGGCTCCAGGTTATGTTGGTACATATGGTGTGACAGCATACGCGGGAGCGGGCGCCATCGACCCTCTGCTGCTCAGTCCGCAATATGAGAAGCCTCGGGAAGACCATCATGGTTTCAATCACGACTGCCAGGATCGTCTCACCGCACATGCGCTAAGCTCAATGCCATCCCCGATAAGTGCGAGCATGCCATCATCAAACAGTTCGATCCACTCGCAAGCGGCAAGGACACATACCTCGAACACCAGTCTCAGTGTGCAATCTTCACAGCCTTACTTTTCGCCGCCGATGATGGCTACTGCTCATCCGCCTCTCCCATCATTGGCACCGGAGGAGACTTACCCTGCACTAGCAGCTCCAACTCCGCAGCGGATGCCTCACCCAATCCTGCATCAGCGAAACGACAAGCCAGCGACAGGACTGGGAATACAATACCCCGAGCTGGAACAGATGAGCCAAGCAGTACTATACGAGCCGCAGCATTTTCTGCCACCGGCTTGCGCGACCATTGGTGTTGCAGTACCATACCCTGCAACAACAACAGCACCCAGTTCGATGTGTTCATACCCGCCTCTTCCACCACCTCCAACGCGGATATTTTCTGGCTTGTCTCCATTCAGCACTCCCCGCAAACAACGGAGGTCACCGTCCCGGTCACCCTCGCCGCCAGTATCCCCAGCCACGATCAGTCCGCGCCGCAATCCTCGGCGTTCACCAAACCGCAGTGTAACCGACTACAGTCAGAGTCGTCGGAAATCCATCCACAAACCAGGGCCGATCAAGGACGCCTCTGCACAAGAACCCTTCCCAACGGAACGAGCCAGATCGTCATCGCGACCTCCTCGAACACCCAAAGCACCCAAGACCCCGACAGGTGGCGGCGCGGTGATTGATTTCGTCAATTTCACGCCCAAAGACGCGTCAAAGCTGCTGAATGATGTGGCGCCCAGTGGTAGTTCCAAGACAAGGGCTAGAAGAGAGCAGGAGGCGAGAGACAAAAGGAAGAAGTTGAGCGAGGCGGCAAAGAAGGCTGTGATGGTTGCGGGAGGCGATGTTGCTGCATTTGAGAGGGCGATCTTCACCTAAGCGGCCAGTAATTGAGGGAACCGTGTGCTCGGGTTGAGGAGAGATGGCTCTCGTGGTTTAGTCCTTTGAAATCTGTTTGTAAAATCTTGTCTTGAGCGGCATGATTGGATCTGATCGATGTACCGCAAGCAAAGTAACACATGTACGAAGATGCTTACCCAAGAGCCTGGATTGATAGGGTTGTGTGACTTGGCTTTGTATGCTCTTTACATAGTAACACCACAACTTCCACCTCCTCGATCCGTACAGTAAACAGAGCAGACGGATGTCTTGGAATTTGGTGATAAGCATGGCCCACATGTCAGAGAATCCGCTTTGGAGTTTCACCAAAAGTCGCTTTGACGCCCATCCCTCGTGATGGCAAGAAGGACGCGTCCCCAATGGCCGCTGAGCTCGGGCGTGCAGTCAATAGGTGAGTGGAAGACATAGACTCGCTGTCCTATTGAGTGCGGTTTTCAATGAGAGCATCTAGGTACTTTTTCTTGTCAGATGCAGTCGCGTCTTAAATGTGAGAAAGCTCTGACCGCCGGGAAAATGGACGGGAGCTTCGGGCCTGGGCGCATCTTTGGGGCTTTCGGCTTGGGCTGCTTTAGCTAAATTCTCGCCTAGACCCCAATGCCAGGGCCAAGAGGCACCCATCACTCCTGCGGCAAGGGGCTGAATTCGATTTGACAATGGCATCATCTGAATGGTGAGGAATGGCTGAACGTCTCGTCAGATCAAGGCACCAGCCGCTGTGGTTCCTCTTGCCCACAGCGACGACGCTTTCTCGTTGGGCAGCTCAGAGCGGTGGCCGCCTTCCTCGAAGACCCGAGTCCCTCGGCCGGCCGATCAAACATGCAAGGATTGTCGACTGCTCTTCGCCGCCCGTTTTCTCAGGGCTAACTTGGACATCTCACGTTTGAGGCTGAACACGACCCCGACCTCTGCCGCCACAACCTCCCTTTCGTGGAAGTGAAGGTATGATGGTTCTGCGTCCTCAACTGCTATGCTATGTCCACGACCAAACATGAACATCATGGAAAGAGCCCGCCGCGGCCTCCAGCGGCTGAGCCCATCTAGAATTCCACCCGACGTCAAGGAGCGTGTGATGAAAGAAACGGGCTGGGCAGATGTAGGTGTCTGATTTCTGATGGCCCACTTCGCCGACGTTGAAGCCAACTTCATTGACACAGAACCACAGGGTTTGCGAGGGATTGCAGCAGTTTTCGTCGTCTCATCACACGTTGTTATCTGCTATGCGCGAATATTAATTCCACCATGTTGCGCCCCTTCCAGCAGTACGCCGTATCTTTTTCAACGACCGATCTTCCGCCTGGTCGCCAGCGGCCATTCATGGGTAGCCATATTTTTCATCCTGATGGGCTTCGTCAACGCCTTGAAGCCACTTCAGCTCGTCAGATCTGGTGAAGTCGACAAAGCTCTGCAGAAATTGGCATCTTCATCGTTCAGCCGCATCTTCCGGCTTGTGCTTCCAGCCACCACTGCCACGATCATCAGCTGGCTCATCTGCAATTTTGGTCTTTATTCAATGTCTGCCCAGAGCGATGCGTACTGGCTGCATGAAAATACCCCTGCACCCAGTTCGAGTTGGTCTTCAGCATTCGTCGACCTGTTTCACGGTCTCGCCGCGACGTGGATGTTCGGCGACCAGAATCCGTACGACCAACCTCAGTGGGCTCTTGTCTATTTGCTGCAGGGCAGTATCATGATCATTAGCGCCCTATCACTTGTGGCAACCATGACCCCGAGCTGGCGCACGACGACACTGTTCCTCCTGGCATATTGGTCATTGAACTGGAGCCGCATAATTGGGGACCGTAAGTGAAGCCCTACCCTGGTCCACAATCCTGACTAACATTAAGCAGCCTGGACTGGTCTCTGCTGCTTTCTCGGCATCACCTTGGGCGAACTCAGCCTGTCCAATATCCCCGTGGCGTTAGCCCCTTACTCGCCTTACTTGTCCCCACCGGTGATTTTTCTGTCGCTCTTTCTCATGTCGTATCCTGGTTCTTATGCCGAATCTGCCTCCTGGTCTATCTGGCTGAGAGACTTTGCAACAAGTTATTTCCCGAACAACACACTCGGCGCCATCGAGCGCATCTATGGCTCGCTTGGTGGCATTTTGCTGGTTGCCGGTATTATTATTTCGCCCCATGCCCGCTGGATGCTTTCTCGTCCACCACTCTTATGGCTCGGAAGGGTCAGTTTTGCCATCTATCTTCTTCACGGAATGGTCTTGCGGACCATTTTTGCCTGGATATTGCACCTCGGTCAATCAAAGGTAATTCTGAGTGGCCAAGGGGAGGACGGGCATGCGATACTTGTTGAGCGGTATCCATTACCAGGTTCCTTCCAGCGCTTTCTAGCGACCGTGGTTATGAGTGTCTGTGTTGGAGTCGCCAGCTACTTCTGGAATCTGAATTTGGAACCGTTCTTCGCGAAGATTACTAGCAGACTCGAAGGCATCGTGGCTGGGAAGGTCCAGCCGATTGAGCCCAAGTCGAACGGGAGCACCATCCTACCGTTGCGCAAGGATTGAAAACCGGTCCAAGACGGCAAGTCCGCAGAGGACGATTGAAAGGAATGAGTGCAAAGAACAAGCAAGCTTCGTGTTCGGTTCGGCTTACCAATCTCCGGACGATCCAATCGAAAACAACTGGAAGAATGGGATGCAGGTTCCCGCAGCCTGAACGACAGGCAGACTAATCTGTCCTAATCGAGTCGTTCGAATGGTCGAAGTTGTTTGAGGACAGTAGCCATGGACCCGCATCGATGCGCTTCAAGGCAAGAAAGCGGCAGATGCTCTCGACCACACGACGGAAAATCCAACTAATCGGGACAGTCGGGACTCGAGTAGGGCTGCGAGGAAATAGTTCTGAGTTACATGATGGAATTGACGTATGGGGCACGCGTCCTCGGCCGTCGATAAAGTGTTGGGTATATTGCGGTTCGGCTCACGCAAGCCAACGGTTATATTTCGCGTATTCGGCCAGACCATCTGGATGTGCTCTGAGCTTGGGCGTGCTGCATGCGCACACTTTGGGACTCCGCAAAAGCTTTGACTTGATAGCATGCAGAATGACGAGGCGAGATGGAACTTATCTTTGCGATAAACACGTATTGCAAATGAATCTCGGGAGACATTCTCCCGAACTATGTACTACTGCGGACATACGTACTCGATATTCTCTTTCGGCCAGCCCGTACTCGTATTCCACTAAATGCAAGTAAGTGGATGACGCGCTCCCATGCAAGTGAGTGAAAACGGTTCTGCATACGGAGTATTCCACGCGTCGTATAGTACGGAGTACAGTACCCGAAAGTACTTGATTAGCACCACTGTACGGAGTACAAGTACTGGGTACGGAGTAAGGAGTGAGTCCCCCACAGGGCGTAACCTCCGAAAGGGCATAGCCAGTACTCCGTACGGAGTACGGAGTATGCATGCATGCATGCAAGGCCCAAGGCACCCACGAGGCTAAGTACTGTACCTTGAAATTACATAGTACCAAGCAGCGGAGCGGCGGGCCTTACTTACAGTATGAGTATCGAGCATGCCCAGCGCCGCAACAACAGCGCAAGGAGTTACAGTACGGAGTACTCCGTACAGTAGTTGGGTAAGCCTACAGTAAGCTCATGGGCCCCAAGCCGGGTCATGAAGCTTGCCTCCTCGCCTCCTCGCCCCGCTTGGTTGATTTCCGGGCAGCGGGGATATCTGAGGCTCAGGAAAGGTCGGCAGGAAAGGGGCGGGTTGGAGGCCTGGCGCTACTGTATTTACATTACGAGTATGTACCCGGTCCGGATGTACAGATGTACAAGTGTGCTTCGTAGCTACTTAATTACGCCGTAGCGTACTTTAGTACGAGTACGGAGTACGGAGTAGTCATGGGTAGGTACCTAAAGGTACTTACCTGGTAGTAAGATTACTCCGTGCAAACTGTAACTAGTTACTGTTACTGTAGTTCGCGCTGATCTGATGATGCCGGCATCAGGAAAGCAACGCGAGGTTGGGTGCCGACCACCGACTAATTACCGTTCGGGGAGGAAGAGTCAGGGGGAGTGGGGAGGGAGAGGGAGAGGAATGGTATTATGTACTTCGCTGTACGGAGTACGTACGCGGCAGGCCCTCCCTGATTACTCACTAGAGTACGGAGTACATGGCACCCAGCATGGGGTGGACATACATAGTAGATATGTAAGCATGTATGTAAGACGGGGGAGGCCAACCGGGGGTCTTTTCTCGGGTGGTTAATTATGCTCTGGTGATGGATTTGCATCCTTCGCGTCTACGTCTCGCTTGCACACGGGATACTGCATACTGCACACTCTACAGTACGTGATACCCAGGGACAGACTGAACGACCTTGGACCGCATTGCATTGACATCCGTGCTGTTTCTTGTAGAGGACTCCGTTCTCCGGACTCTCGGCGGGTGAGAGGATCTCCCCTGGGCTCAGGTTCTAGCGACGACGTATACACATTCTAGAGTATCTCAGCCGAAATCCGATTGACAGCGCCGGGGTATACACACGCTAGAATGGATGGCACTGCGATCGCCAAAGTTCTGGGGTTGACGTCGTCGGGTATTTTCGCAGGTATGTCAGAGCTCGTACATATATTCCGACGGTGTCCCGTTCGTTCCCCTTATTCCCGTTCCAGCGGATGTCATTTCCAGCGCACATCGCCACACCAGAGCAAGACTGGCCAATCTCAGATATAACCAGGCTGACGGCCATGTGTTCATGTTCCCAGGGTACACGTGGGCGCTGTCCCACGCGGCAGTGCCGGCGATATTATTCGCGTCGGAAGACCTCCAGGCCAAACAGTGGAGGTATCAGTACTTGATGGGATACTATGTGAGTGTCTAGCTTACCGGGACGGGCATGGGCCTCTAGCAGGCACGACCGACCGACCGACCAATCGACCGATTGACTGACTGACTGACCGACGTGGCAAAGATTTCGAGACCCATGTGTATTGTCAATGGACTGTCGTTCGGGTACCTGGCTTATCAGGGTGAGTGTACTGTTCTCCTATGGCTCGCACTGTCAGCACTGTCAGCGTCAGACCAGACCCCCACGCAGTCCGGGGGCAACACGCCGCGAACGATGCGTCGATGGAAGACTGACACATTGCCGCTGACGTCTTCTAGCCACGGAATCGTCATTCCTTCGCACGCTCTACATCCTCGCTGCAGTCACGAGCGCGTCGGGGGTCCCTTACGCGCTGACATTCCTCCGACGCACCAACGGCGCGTTGTCGCGCAAGGCGCATCGTCTGGCTGGGCCGGGGCCCAACAATGGGCAGGTCATGGCGCTGCGCTATGCGTTCGACGAGCGAAGGAGCGTCGACCGGGACCAGAGGATGGGCACGGCCGAGACGATCGAGCGGTGGAGCTGGCATAATTACGTGAGGACCTGGGTGCTTGTTCTTGGGACGATCGTGGGCGCGATGGCTGTTGCTTTGGATGGGAAGTAGGCCTGTTTCATCTGTCTGCTCTGTTTTGGTGTCTTGGGTCTCTGGTCTGGCGGAGTTGAGCAAGGAGCGAGCGAGTCTGCCACAAGTATGAGTAGATTCTTCAATCTGGTGAAGCGCACTGCCAGCGGGTCTAGGACTGAAAGAGTGAGTGAAGGATCGATTGGTCATTTGGGGGCAGTCAAAGGTCGATGGGCTCGGGGTCAAGGGACCGGTATTGGAGGGAGGAAAGCCTCATGCTCCCACCTGGCAAGACAGATCAGTTCACAGAGCTCACCGTTTTGAGACCCTTTCGGCACGCGCGAGCCAGCTGAATGACATTGATCCTCTCGACGAGACAGGCTTTGTGCTGTCTGGACGTACCGATCGACGAGAAGTAAGGTCTACAAAGCCAGCGAAACTGGCTGGGCCCCGGAGGCGCCGCGATAAGATTGATGTGAGCTTTTCCATATATTTATCCACCGTCTTCCCGGAGGTGTTGGTTGTGCAGCACTGGTGATAATGAGAGAAATAGTCGAGAACCTGGTAGCAATGACCCCGAAAGCCGAAACCGCGGAGACAGCGGTCGACATATGTTCAAGGTCTGTGAAACATAGCATGTGTCCTGGTTTGAAAGCGTTCGCACGGTGGACAGAGTATCGCGCTTCTCTTCGATTCAGCTAAACAGGTGAAAGGTGAGGCCGCAATGAAGGCAAAGTGAAAGCTGTACACGTGGCTTTGAGGTTCGCGTGGCGCACCAAGACTGGATGGCCAGCTGCCTATCAACGAGTCCGATAATCACCCAGGCGAGATCAGCATCATGGCACCGCTCGGTCACGCGTTTTGCAAGTTCACTCACTGTGGTCTGGCCACGGAACGAAGGATTACATAGTGTGGGAAATACAAAGGAGAGGCACACTTAAACGAAGGTTGCGGGGAAATTTCCTGCAGCTACCAAGTCGCGCTATCGGCAAACCTTCCTCCACGGCCTGCGAGACAGATATCGCTCGACCCGCGAGTCTCTTCTTGCCAGTAAAGCACCTCACGATGGATGCGCTGCAACCGTTCCGTGCACCAGTCGCAGAAGAGGCTTGTTCGCAATTTGATGTCGGGTGTAGCGAGGAATCCATGAAATCTAAAATGTTGGACCGCAAAATGCATTCGATATACTACGCATACACACTCTGTTTTACATCAACCCAGGAGTAAGGCCACCAAAGGCAGCGCTGCAAGTCCGCCGCTAAGAGCGACCTTGTTACCCAAACTCCCAGCTGTCTCCTCAGCAGGTGCTGCAGACCCGGTAGCACCTCCCTGTTTCGAACAGACTTTGTCAGTTGACTTGCTTCTAAACTTCCTGACGTTTAAAATTCAAGCTGCACTCACCATACCGGCCTGTCCGCCCGTTGCTGTGGCCACCTCCACCGAAGAACTTGTCGTGACCGACGAAGAGGAAGACGAAGTGCTTGCTTCTGTGCTTGAAGACTGACTGGCTGTTTCGGTCATCGAGGTCGACTCGGGGCCAGAGCTATTGGTCGTCGCCGTGGCCGTGGCCGTGTCGGTGGCATTTGCTGGGGCGGGCGTCGCATCAAGCCCACACGCTGTGGCGGCCTCGGACACACTATCACCGTAGTACTGCCAGATGTCGAACTCGAGGGCGCAGCCGAGACAGGCGTCGAGTGAAGTGGTGAAGTTTGCGGTGTCACAATATCCCTCCGTTCGACCAGCGACAATGACATTTCCACTGCAATTTTGGTTACTTGAGTCGGGTCCGAGATATTCCGAAAGACATACCAGTTCGCGTGACAATCGTACTGCGGCGTCCCAGGTTCTTGGCGCCGGAGGAGAGAGGAGAACACCGAAGGTCCAGATGAAGCAGAGACAAAAGCGAGCGACACGGCCCCTATGACCAGGGGAAAGAAGCGCATGGCGACGAATCAAAGTGTTGCGGACCAGTAGAGACACTGAGAATGCCAGCTCTTGAATCGGAAAACACAAATCGAGGCGCGAAGAACATAAGGAAGTGGGAGACAGCTTGCCCATATAAACTAACCACAGAGCTTCAGCGTCTGAAAGTAACGGTCATGGCGCTGCACTTGCCGATATCATCTCCATCCACCTCGTCTCCGCTTTGACGCTCAAGCGAGGTTCCCCTCGTCTGCCAATTTGGAGGGCATGCTAACTCGGCGGGAATGGTGAGAGACGCAATGTTCGCGAGGCACAAGGGAGGCTGGCTTGGTATCATCGCTTGGCCGCACCACGGGTTTCCTTGCCGTGGCACGCAGCCAATGAAAGATAACGCCCAGATTCGGTCAAGCACGCCGTCGGTCTTCGCATGAGCGATTTATCTTATCTGATTGAGTAATTCCCAGACTGACAGTTGAAAGTTTTGCCTTTCTCCCGCGCAACTGAAGACGAATCTTTGTCAGGCGAGAGACGGGTTCTGGATTGCCGAAGTCGGCGCCATCTTATCTGATTAGATGACACGCAGCCTCGATTGGATGAGCGTACGATTTCTCCCCTCTTAGCAGCTTGCCATACCGTACGATTCGTTGGAGTCTGGAGTCTCGCATGCAGAACGCGTCTTGCCGAGGACTTCCACAGAGCTCTAGCTGTCACTTCGTCCAGCGCGATACTCATGTATCCGGTTAAGTCCTCAAGGCCCCACGGCTGGGCGGTTGCGAGGGTTGGCATCTTGTGACCTGGAGGATTTTATCTTCCACTATATTTTGGGCTCTCCTCTGTGGTCGTGGCGTGATGGAGGGAAGGAGTGTCCCTTGCATTCTGTTTCCTCGAAAGGCCGCTTTCCGATCGAAGATATAGTTATCTAAAGTACTCCGTACTCGTTGTTCTGTCAAGATCGGCGGATTTTTGCTGCTTTGGTCTATTGTCTTGTCCAGCCGTTTGAGATGGGTACAGTCACGTCCGCTGTCTTTCTTTTCTTCACTCTTGCGGCGAGGCACATCTTCGCCCAAGATCATGGAGAAGAGTACTCGGAGACGATGGGCCCGGTCGCCTTCATGTGGCCACCTGATCGCGAATGGGGTGCTGCTCAAGACAATACAGCTCCTTGTGGTTCGGCTGCAGCGGTGGTGAACAGAACTGAATTCCCCCTCCGTAGGTGGCAATCTCACCCCGAGAGTATGCATGCTTATTCGTCCCAGTCAACGGCCAAATTGCGCTTGTCGCTCAAGACGAGTCCTGGTCCATCCAAGTTGCAATTTCTCATCGAAACGGTAAGCAAACTCGCGCTTCTCCAGCATACCCCTTGTCGGCGCTCACACACCTATCAGACCCATCCTCAAACGATGATTTCGAGACTGTGATTCCTGCGATGAGGATCCCGGAACTCAATGAGGGCCACATGTGCTACCCGATTCCAAATCCATCAGCAGATATCGAGGCTTTCTCGAATGCAACATTGCAAATTCGATACACCTCGGACTTTGAAGACGACAGGAATGAGACCTACTACGCCTGCGCTGATATTACTTACGTCCCAACCAGCCAATTCACCTACCAAGTGCCATGTTTCAACGCCACCGTCGAGGATTTCGACATTTCTGATGCTGATCCTGAACCAAGTTCCTCAGATACGGCGCCTGGATCATCGGTGACATCTGGCGCCATCGAAGCCACCGAGGAGTCATCTGGAGGCCTATCCAAAGGCGCGATTGCCGGCATCGTTGTCGGTGTGGTGGTGGGAGTTGCTGCTTTCCTTGGCGCATTGATCTACATGTGGCGTCGCAGCCAGCAGAAGCGTCGACTTCGTCAACAGGAGGCTTCCTTGCGGAACGTGAAATGGGACGAGCATGTTGATGAGAATAACTCGGCGTCTCAGATCTCGGACCGCGACATTCAGCTGAGGAAGCTCTAGTCAGATGAAGAGCTGTGGATAGAGGCAAGGTACTACTGTATCGACGATAGTGAAACGTATCTGTCTGCAATTGTTTATTAGCGGGTCGAAATCAAGAGAGTGAAGATGAGGGCCTGCACTTGAAGCGTCTTTGCCGAGATAGTTCACGTGATAACTCACGTGACCGTCGTCACCGACAGCATGGGGCGCTCCCAATTTAATCTCATTTCACCATTCTGAGCAAAGCATGTACTTTGACAGGTTCTCCATAACTCGTTACATGATAACCCACAAGTACGACTCTAGGAGGCGACGAGCCTTCACACAGCGTTGAAGACATGCATCGAGGCGGACAACGGCAGGCTAGCCGGCGGTCAACGTGAAAAATCGAACATGCTCGGTCTGGTCGCATTCGACGATCCTGATGCCGCCGGAAGGTTACACATTGGCCTTACGTCCAGAGTGTTCGTAGCCCTTCGCGAGCTTTTCGATAGTCTTCCAACGACCCGATGAGATCGCTGTCAGGCGCCAAAGACGGACCACTGCGGAAAAACAATGGTAGGAGAAGGGCCGAGACACCATTTGATAAACCCAACTCACTAGGCAGAATTAATGGCCACTATTGGAGTCTCTCGCACGCAAGGAGCTCCGCTAGAGCCTACACATTGTCGGTGGTGGCAACCACAAAAACACCTCGTGCCACTCCAACCAGGTCATGTGGTGCCTTGTCGAGGGACCATTGTGGCATCACACTGCCCATGTTGATATACAATGGGTGAGCCGAGACGTGCGTGGAATCGGAACAGATCAGTGAGAGGAACTTCAAGAGCGCGTGGGACGAGTATCTGGGCTCCACAGAAAGCCGCAGTCACACCGGGCTTTGGAATACGTGTCTGAATCTCTACTGAGATCTAAAAGCCTCGATATCTGGAAGCAAACGGATGCTGAACCGGTAAAATAGAAGAGAAGGACTCCCTGAGTGCCCATCAGAAATGTGTGGCCGCATTCGAAGGCTCGCGTGGACAGCTTAGATACCTACACAGTATGTATGTACTGAGGGTCAACCACCACTGATTCGTAAAGTGCGTTGGTCATGACCATGCGAGGCCAGGGTCAGCCACTGAGCCGTTCGACCGCTGCAGCAGGATCCCGCGGTGACTGGAAATGTCGTCCGCGAAGAGGTCTCGCATCACGTTGCAGCGGTTGCCCTTTCCGGGGGTCGCTATGCATGTTCCAAGCCGTTCCATGTGGTTTTCATCACTGGTCTCAAGTGTCCTTTCACCGGTTTGCGTCGCTCACCAATCACCGTCGTCACCTTCACACGTTAGGCATCAGTCGTCCGCAAATTCTGTATGTGACGTCGCAGATCAATTTCAGCCTTAAAGGCGCCCTCGTCGCTTGTCAACCATGACTAGGCATTGTTCCTTGTTACATGCTCCCCTGCTCGCAACGCCAAAGGCAGAAGACGAGACGGCCATGTAGTTACTTTTCTCTGGAATGGCACAGATGACAAGATGTTCCCGTCCGGACGTTGACATGCCTCCAATTTTGTATCAGCCGTTGGATGACGAAGAGATTCGTCTACTCACCATTCATTCTCAGAACAACTTCAGTCTCCAGACCGCATGCTTGAAGCAGAACCTAAGATACGACGCAGTCTCCTATTGCTGGGGAAAGGCCCACGATCTCTGCAACGTCCGGGTCAATGGCTATGAGATCCCACTTCGAAGGCATGTGGCGACAATGCTGGACAGCCTCTATCGTCACCGTCGAATTACTCATGTCTGGTTGGATATGCTATGTATCAACCAAAGTGATGAGGATGACAAGTCAAAGCAAGTGTTGATGATGGGAGAAATCTTCAAGAGGGCTGAGAAAGTCTATGCATGGTTGGGAGAAGCAGATCGCGAAATGGATTGCATCTTTGATGTTTTGTTGGATTTTCGAGACCGCAAGGCAGACAAGGTATTATACACCCGTTTGGATGCTGCTGAACGACTTTCCGAATATAGAGAAATGTTCCGCGAAATCTACCAGGAGCGAGTCGGTTCTTTACCCGAACCGAGAGAATCGGACGATGAAAGGTTGCACGAAGAATTCAACTGGCTGCGTCCTCTGTATGCCCGGCCTTTCTGGGGCCGTCTTTGGATTGTTCAGGAGCTTATCCTGGCGAAAGAGGTTATTGTCTGTTATGGAACCAAATGCATTGCTTTGAACGACATTTATGGCCTCAGTCTCGACTGGGGCTCCTTCGAACAGGGCTTCGATGCTTGCCAACCGGACTATACAGCGGCCATGAAGATCGCCGTAAAAATGCCTCCATTGGTGCCCGAGCAGGAGGAGACTGGTATGGTGGAGACGGAAGAGTGGGACGATACTACGACCACGCTCCAGCATCCGGAGGCGCCCTCCATGGATGGTGAGTATACATTGGAACTTGTTCACATGGACTTAGGTGACTGATGGATGGCTTGCGGAGGTAGCTTCGGAGAAGTCGAAGTCGCATTCGAGAGGATGGAAGACCATCCAAGCCATTCGCGGGCACCGACGACGCAGAGAGAGCTTGAGATATGAGCCAGCAGCAGACCCTCCGCATCCAATGGTGGTTGAGATGTCGGAGCAAGGCGATGTTGCAGAGATTGATGAAGTGGTCGAGGTATATGCCCGACATCAATGCTGTGATCCGAAGGACAAAGTCTACGGGCTGCGGGAACTGGTCAAGGAATGGAGGGAAAAGCTTAAGCCAGAGTACAAGAAGTCTGTCTTGGAAGTCTTCCTGGACGTTGCGAGACTTGACTTGTTCAAGCAGGAAAAAAATGGCGGACTGCACGTGGCATTCGGTTTGTGGTCGGAAATGGGACTGGGCGGTCGCGAGAAGTTCAACGACTGCCTAAGACAGCATTTTCCGGAGATATACAGTCGACACGTGTCGCGGCTGTGAAATGCAACACGTTGTCCGCTTGGAAATGTCTGTAGCACTCTGAGAGCTGTGCGTTGGTAGAGTGGAATTGAATCTCGTGGGATGTAGGTGAAGACGTGCCTAAATTCAGGCAGCGTATTCCAGGTGACGGTGAAAGTTCATTTGTAGCGAGCATCGGAGACGTTGACCAAGGAAAATCTCTTCGACCATGATGCCTTGTGCAAAGCGACCCTAGGAGTCCTTCATCGGAACAAAGAGACGATGTCTCCATTCCTATGGATTTGTTAATGAGGGCGAAGCTACCTCATACCATACGCAGGAGACTGTGTCTGAGTAGATGGGGAAGCGAATCAGCGGACATGATTTTTCTCCAGATTGTCTTGCTTGAGATTAAGTAGCGAATCAAAATTGTCGAAGCGAAAGCACCCTCGGTACACCACAGTGTTCAATGGGGACATACATACTTTCCCAGCTCGTCGGGATCTTCGCTCATGATGGAACTCGATGTTACGGTGGCGAGGGTGGGGAAAGGTCGTGGTAAGTTGAAAGTGAGTTGAAGCTGAATAAAATTCAGTTCACAGTCAAGTGCAGTAGTGGTTAAAAGCGGCTTGTGTTTGGTCAGTCAGTTCTGAGCCCTTTACGTCCGCGGTCAATTTTGCCTCGATCCTCTCATACTCTCACACGCAGACACAATGCTTCCCAGTCGCTGAGAGATATCAATGGCGGAAGAAGAAAGCCTGCTTTGTGCTAGAAGCATAGCATTTACCCTTCTTCCATGACTATCTAATTCTATGCACGACGAACTGAACAGGTCATGGCGCGAGAGGTAAGCTGCGCCTCTGTCGAGCTCGAGCTTCTACTGCGGGGTGTAGCGACCACGATGCGGATGCCTACTGCGGAGCCCAAGCACGTGCTCCAGCCACCTGCCACCTTCCACCTGCCACGCTCCAAATCCGTCGCCTCAGTTCAGCCCCCCGCATTTAATTTTAGCGAAACCTGCTCACAATTCAGCCTCACGTCGTTCTGACACACGCACCACAACGCGAGGAATCCGAAAACATGCTCACTCGCACCGCGCCACGGAGATAAGGTCCTATGCGAGGTTGGAACGAGAATCGAAATCTTGCTCAAGACGCCCATATCGAGGCTGACGCGTGAAATTGCGCCCAAATGCAGCAGGCTTGGATCTGCTCTTTCGGTGGTACGAGGCACCAAGCTTGCAAAGTAAGGTAAGTCGAGTCGATTCGAAATGAGTTGAGCAGGTATTCATTCATTCAATCCCATTCCAAATGCAAACTTCGCCGCTAGACCGACGACCTCCCGGCTTCGTCTCTGATATAAGAGTATGAATGTGAACTCGTATTCTTCGCAGTGACTGTTTCGCTCTACGCAATACTGCACCACATACGGAGTATCTCGAACCTTTACACCACATTCGTATACACCAGACCATCAGACACACATCACAAACTCATCAACAATCCATCCACCTCAGCGACACTCCCAAGTCCAACCAGAATGTGTACCGACTCCCACCTCCCCGCGGCGCCCGACTCGGCCATCCGCGTCGCCATCATCCATCCTCTCTCCGACCCTTCATTCCACGCGCGACTAAGTCTCTCGAATGGACCGGGTGACGGGACCACGACGACGACGCTGCAATCCGCAGACGACGCCGCAGGGGCGTCGTTGAACGTTAGAATCCAGTACGTATTTTCGCGTTTGCACATCGTCTAATGATATGACTTTCTTTGGATTTGAATTTGAACTTGAGTCGTCTTAGATCTGGACATTCTATCGTGCCCGCCCCCATCCTACTTGCCCTGTACGAGTTCAGTGTACGGTGAATCAAGGTGCCGGGTGTGTGGGAGAAGGCAAAGGCATTCAACGTCGTGGTCGTGTGTCGTCGTGTGGATTATTGCAGGTACACACGTACGCTTCCGGGCATGGCTGGCTGGCTGCCCGATCGACTCACTTGATCCAAGATTGATTGGTTGGTTGGTTGGTTGGTTGATTGATTGACTTGCCATGCCTTGACCTGGCGTGACTCGACTCTCCTTGCCGTCCTGACGCTCGAATGCTCGAATGCCCGAGTGCCCGAATGCCCGAATGCTCGGATCCCTGTACACCGATGACTTGCTAACATGACGTGCTCGCTCCAGTAAATACGGCGCACCCCTCTCACTCTCACTCTCGCTGTCGTCTCGGTCGTCCCGATCATCACGAACCTCCACGCCCCCCAGCTTTACTTCGGGATCAGAGCCAGATTCAGACACCTTTGATTCTGACTCCGACAACGACACCGACGCCGACTCTTCAAACCCCATCGTTCATTCTTTCCCCGTCACTGTGAGCACGACCACGACCACGACCACAAAGAACGCCCCCAGAGCATGTAGTGGTATTCGACTGGATCTGGGCGTCGGCGGGGATGGCGTCGTCGGACGGACTGTGTCGATTATGGATGGGCGGAGTGGCAAGATCCTTGGGGAGGGCATTATCGGATGGAGTTGAGTTGGACTGTACCCATCCCTGTACCCATCCCATGTCGAAGTGAGGTGAGGTGAGGTGAGGTGGTCTTTCCTTTTTGACTGGCGCGCGGTTGCGGTTACGGTAACGGTTGCGAATCGGTGTGCACCTGTTAGGATGCTTCTTGGGAATATGGAATGGAATTCTTCACGGGGCTGGATGGGCAATGGCATGGCATGGCATGCACCAGCAGAATATGTCAGGACAGGACAGCCTGGCTACCTCGGATAGGGTAAGAATCAGGCACAACATAGCACGGTATGGCACGGTATGGCATATATGTATTCATGGTTCACATATCTCAATTGGTTCATTGTGGTATTTTCCCGCGTTATTGGATGGAGGTGAGAAAAGAAGACATTCCGACCCCTGGGATCGGAGAGTAAGTGACGGCGTGGGATGTCACGCTACTTATTTTCCAGCCACGTTTACTACGAATGATACACAGGGTATGTACTCCGTACCGCCGAGCAGATACCATGACTTGTGTTTCTTCTGCTCGCTACAATAAATACCCCATCCATCCACTGTTGTTCATGTATATGTCAAACATGTCCAATTCTTCGGTGCTGAAGTTGAATTGATCCCAATTCGTCCGGCCGTAGCTTGCGGCATCGTACGCGGCATTCAGGTTCTGACCGGATTGATGGTGGCCCGCTGATTCGACGTTGTTCCAGTTTCCCCCTGGCATGAAGCCCGGCGTAAACGGTCGTTGATGCGGAAGAGTCGCCGGCGGTGTATCATTGCTAGTGGGGCCTAGAATCCCGGTTATGTCCATCCGTTTCGCCGAAGGGATGGCCTCCCCAGTGTTCTGTGCCAGGATACTGGACGCGCGATCCTGACCACCACCTGCCTCCTCATCGGGGAGTTGTCCCGTACGGTGGAGATGCCACATTTTGAGCTTCGTGAAGACGAACCCGAAAGCCGCGGCGCACGGGTTCTTGCCGTTGGCCGAGATCTCGCTCAATCGACCGAGTAGCGCGTCTAGATAGTAATTCGTCCGCAGATCAGGAAGGAAAACCGCCCCGAACTTCGATTCGGGGGAGTTGAATATCCAGTGCAGCTTCATCAGCACCATGATGGCGTAGGAGGCCCAGACGATGTAGAGGTTGGAAAGAGTGCGGGCGCAGTCGGAATCAAGCGAGAGGTAGGTATCCAGCACTTGATGGCTGCTGGTCAGCAGGGTCGACAAGGCTTCGACATGTGCCGCAGTGACGATTTCGGGTTGCTTGCGCTCCTCTAGCGAATGCGCCGCAGGGCGAAAGTCGTCGACGTTGTGGTCTTGGTGGATGGCAATCTCGTGGATATACAGATTGATACAAGCTGCGTGGTGACGCACGAACCCTTCCTCGCTGTCAGTGTGTAGCTCGCTCCGACACTCCCAAGTGATTCGAGTAGACTTACGTGGGTCGATAGAGACGTCGACTGTTTTCTCCCACAAGCGCAGCTGCCTCTGGAAGCATTTCAGCTGATGCTGGATCCTCGGCTCGGTGAATTTGAGCTCGGCACCTGGATCGTCCATGTCGAAAGCCGCCGAGACTTCTTCGGCAATGCGGGCAAGACCAACGGTCGCACATAGCCATTTGTCGCTGGGAGCAGCGTACGGGCTTTTCGAGAGGGTCTCGAGGCACTCTTCGACCCGGGGACCAAACCTTACAAGTGACGGAAGGCGAAGAATGGTCGTGACACTGTGTTCCCTCAAGGATTAGCTGGTCCGTTTACACGTACAACTAAATGCAGATCGGGCACCTACGTTATATTCGACTGATAACAGGCGAGCCATGTTCGACAAAATTCTACCTCCTCTTCCGGACTCCTTACCACCTTGGACCGTTTCCCGATCCCAAGCTCCAAGGCCATGACGCTTGCGGCTTGGATGTTGTGGTTAAAAGTCATGTCTCGAGCAGTGCGAGGTCTGACATAGTATTGCGAATTGAACAACATGGCCTGGATCAGGTCCAAGGACTTGTCGCCATGGAAAAGCACCCTTTCCGAGATCTGGCGATTGAGCTCGATGGTCAGGGCAGGCTGGGCGGAAGGTTGGATAACCGCGCTCGCAGCCGTCAGAATGGCCAAAAAGGTCATGGGACGAGCTTTCCGAATTTCCTGAATATCAGCGCCAGGAGGGAAGATGACAATCGGGTTGGTTTCACACATGCGGTCCCTCCAAAAAGAGAACAGTTTGGTGGCAGACTCTACTGTCAAGTCTCCGCGATCGACGACGTCGACATAGTCATCCCTCGCAAGAGGTTCGAAGGTCACGGCACCACAAGTCGTATTGTATCGAGTTGGGGTGGTTGACGGGAATGCCTGCTCTATCATAGCACGATGGTAACTGTCCAGACTGGTGTTGGAAGTATCCTCTGTCCGCGCTGGCTCGGAGCTTGAAGTTGTCGGAGCGTCCTTTGCCGGCGACTCAGCCTCTACCTTGGCCCCGTCCGTCTGCTGCTGTTTTGCCAGCAGCGCATCCGTCAGTGCGTTGATCTTCTTCTCGAGTTCGGCGACTTTATGGACCGTCTTTTGTCGTTTGCGAGGTGGACCGGGCATGATGCACTGGCGGTTCACCTTGGAGCATGCATTGCACGCCTCCTGACCCTCAACGGGAAGGCACCGGATCTTCATGTTGCGACAAGCGACACATGCTCGCGAGCGTTTTTGGCGCTTGGGCTTCTCAGTGCCCGAGGCGTCGTCATCTTCCTGGCTATCCGGGGATTGACTGTAATTGTTGGAGTCTTGCCGGTCGACATCTTGCAGGACGGCGCGCGTTTCCGAGGAACGAACTTGGTCGAACGGTAGTAGTGTCTCCACCGGCAGTGGCCTCTGAAGCGCCATATCTGTGCCTTCGCGTTCCTTGCACTTTTGAGCGAGGTCCGGTGTCAACAAGACATTTCGATGATGATGACGCAGACGATATTGCCGACGTCGCTTGGCGCAGAGACGAGCAGCGTCCGATGGCGATTTATTCTCGAGGGATCCTCAGCTGCCTAGATGCCGTTGAAGTGAGGGGTCGCAGACCGCGGGTCAGCTTGTCAACACAATATGTCCAGTTCTTGTCATGCGAAGAAGAGGCCGTGGTGAATGGATAATGTTTACAAATCGGCTGACTATCAAATCAGATTTCGCGGAGCAAATCGGCTGAGAAAAAGTCGAGCGTCTGACGAGCAGATGGGCGCGTTGAGTCACGTGGCCAGTGCAGCGGCTGGGCTGTCTGACGGCCGTCTTTTCGATTGTTAGACTCGGAGACAAGTTGTGCCGACTGCCATCGCAGAACCGCCAAAGCCAGGCAACAGTGAACATGAAATATTCCCATCATCTCTATGATAGAGGCTATTTTTGGCAATGCAGTCTAGGTACTCAGTGCCCCGGACAACGACCATGGCTCAATGACTTTTCCTGACGATATCAATCGTTACAACAACCCTGCGCCGTCACTTTCTCCAAACATGCGGCTCTCAACGTCCATCGCTCGTATGCATCACCGCAGCGCCCTTCTATATGCTGTGCCATACGCCGGATGCCAAAGCTCACCAACGTATCCTTCGCTTCCATTTCTGTACTCGGGTCTCCTCGGGTGAATTCGCCGCCTCCGTCTCCGAGTTTTCGGGTCCAGTCAGATCCCCTGCAAGGTTATGTTTATCGTTCAACTTGAGGTTGGGCAGGAACCATACCATGACCATGGGAATCGCTGATGCGACCAGCGCAGCAATGGTCATGTATCTCAAGATGTCCGAGTACGCGTGGTTGACCGCCATCCGTTCGCTTGAACCTGGCTGGGGGACGACGTCGGTAATCGTGTCATACACGCTGTTGATGGCTGATTGCGGGGTGTCGGGGCCCATCCAGAAGCGTAATCGTGGCTTGAACAGGCTTGTATAGATGGTGCCTGCAATGGAGGAACCTATGCTGTTGCCAAGGTAGATGAACAGAAGTTCCAGCGCGGTTGACTGTGCCAGCTCCGCCCGTGGGACGACTACCTGCGCAACGACAATGACCACCGTGCCGACCATGCCACTACCCGCGCCCTGGATGATTTGCATGACGAATATCTCTCCGATCGAGTTGTTCGCCCCACGAAGGCGCATCATGAATCCATAACCGATGAGTCGGATGATGACGCCGATCAGTAGAAGCCACTTGTACCGCTTGGAGCGGTACATGAGAAAGCCCGTGCCCAAGCCTGTCAAGACCTGCACACAGCCGGCCGCGTATGTCAGAAACGTCGCGTTCCGCGGCGTGAATTCATGGACCACAGTTGCCCATGCGTATAAGTAAGTGTGAGTGACGCTGTAGGCGAAGGCGTCGAGCAAGCCAATCAGAAATGCAAGGATCAGAGAGACATTCTTGACGAAACGGGGTGGAATGACGGGCTTTGACGCAATCCGAGACTCGTAATATACCAGTACCAGCAGGAAAACAACTCCCAACGCAATCAAGGTCGGTACCCATGGTGCTCGCCAACTGCCAGAAGTGTTTCCGGCGAGGGCTATCGGCAACAGTAGCATTGCGCAGCCCCCACTCAGCAGAACCATGCCGCCAAGGTCAATCTGAGAGAGGAAGCCGCGCATCGACGTCTTGTTGCGAACAGTACCGCCTACCCGTCTCAATCGGCGCTGAAACCAAACGAGAGGGATGATGACGGCCACGGAGCAGATTGGCATGATGATGGCGAACATCCCGATACCCCACCGCCAGCCGATGTTTGCGAGAGCGCTGTCAACAATGAATGCCGAACACCAGGGGATGATCATAAACGGTAGGTTGACTAGGCCGTTGGCAAGACCACGCCATCTCGACGAGGTGATGTCCGCCACGATGATCTGGTTGAGGATTTGCATGCCCGTTTGGCCGATACAGTAGATGACATAGCCTCCGGTATACTGGCCAAATCCTTTGGCGGACGCACAAAGAATGTAAGAGGCGACATAGAAAACGACCACGGCCATGTAGGTCTCAGCCCGCCCGATGACGTCGGATATCTTCGCGATCGGTGGCTTCAGGACGGCACTGACAATGGTCCCAGCGGTCATCAACGCACCGAGTAGAGCGACCTCTTCGAAGTCGGAAGCGGCATAGTTCTGATAGTTGTAGATGGTGGCGTGGTCAAGCTCGCTGACATCCGTCAGTACGGTCCAGTTGTGCTCTGATGTGCTGTACTTACAAGATGGTCCACATCAGGGCGATGCTAGAGTCCACCGTCAGCAGTTGGTTCAAGGTAGACCGAGGGCGGCATACCCGATCCACATCCACACCCTCCCATTCTTGCCCCAGGCCGCATCCAAGGCCTCCTGGTTATCGTCTTCATTCTCAGAATCCGACTGGACTCGATCATCCGTGGCTTGGTTCTTCTCTTCGTCCACGACAGCGGATGCAATGCTCGCAGCTATCGTTGTCTCATTCGACGGCCTAGCCTCCGCAGAGAACCGACTTCCTCGGGCGGCAGTCATCGTGGGCAAGGAAAGCACAGGAGCAAGGCTGACAGAGGTAAGGAGGAGATTTTCGAATCAGTCATGGCTGAGGTTGGGCGAGCAATATCAATTCACGAAACCATCCGAAGAAGAGGTCCGAGCAGTGACCGGCGATCAGACCCATCCTCAATCCGACGTACACAAACAATGAGCGCATCAGGGCTCCAGCCCAAGAGCAGCCGGTAGCACGATCAGCATCGCGGACTCCATATGAGCTGTGAATGTGAATTGAAGAGAGGTACTGCGTGGTGAGTTAGCAAGGGCATCCTCCGACCAAACAACCTCCACCATGACGGAGGTATGTCAACGTGAGCCAATGCTCGTCGCCAGCGATGTCGGAGCAAGAGCAGTGCGCTCAACAGCTGCCGAATAGAGCAAGAAGCCCCGATTCACTCTGAGGGGGGAGCGAGAAATGAGCAGTGGCAGTGTGTCAAGCGGCAAGCGCCTAGCAACCCCGTGATAATCTGATCAGATAATTTTCATCTAATCAAGATAAGATGATCGCGCAAAAATTTTCATTGCGCTGCATTCGCGGCGCAGATCATCTTGGAGGCCCAGGCTCGTCGTCCACCGTGAGTCTCAGAGACAAGAGCGATTCGTTGTTCGCCATGTCTTGGACATTGGCGTTTCATCATGGTGCAGTAGGCGCGCCGCAGTGGGGCAGAAACTCCAAGAACGAGGAGGCTGCTATCCGTCGCTTCTGTAGGAAGTCAGAACCGTTGAAATGCAGGGACTGCGACAAGCTCCTCGGACCACGTCGCGCAGCATGTAATGGAACATGACCAGAATGTCAAAATGCGTCCAGCACATGCATGACATTGATGGCTGCCGGCAGAGGACGGTGAGGACAGACTGCGCCGCCGTGGCATGGGAACATCATCTTCACAAAATGCCGAATGACGCAATTTCTTGGGTCGGTCTTGGTGGTCTTGGGTTGCATTTGGTGCATCCAGCATCCACTGGTATGAGTACGAGTTAACTATTGCTCCTATACTCAGTACTACTCCGTACCGAAGCTCCATATGCAGTTCCCCGTCACATGTTCGCCATCGTAACAGTCACTCCTACCCTCCGACACCTGAATAGTGGTTGATCCATGCAAAGATCTCCCTGTGCCAAACAAGACTGTTCTCCCTGTTCAGCACCCTGAAGACCACCAGTCAGCAAGAGGTTCAACGTGCTAGCACCGAAACGTCTTACCAATGATTTTCGTCTGAGAAGCTCAAAAATTTGCTGGGGACACCCCTTAGTTGCAGGATGTTGAAGAGCATGAGACCTTCAGATATAGGTAACCTATAATCCAGCTCGTTGTGCACAACGAAATGCGGTGTGGCCCACTCAGTAATATAGTTGAGTGGATTGAACTCGTCATAATTGACTCTATTGGCCCAAAGGGTGCCGTTGAACTGTGCGGCGGTCAGCTTCATCCTGCAGTGGCATGTCAAACTCACATCGTGCTGAGTGAACCAGAGTTCTTCAGTTGAGTAAGATCCTTGAGTGTTGGTCATGCCATCATGCGTGACTAGAGCCTTGAATCTGCGTCCCAAGTCATGACCCTGGATGAAGTTCGTCATGTATCCGCCATAAGACGCGCCAGCCTCGATGCCGTTCTCCGTGTCGATGTAGTCGAACGTGCTGTTGACGTACTCCCAAACGGCAACGAGATCCTCGTAAGGCTGCGAGTTTACGTTAGTCTTAATCGCCTTAGGGCAGAGATGGTCTTGGACAAAATAGCACGGCGTTTCGAAGAAGAGCGGAACTCACATAGCTGCCCCAGTTGTCCTGGATGGCATCTTGGAAAGCCATACCCCAGCCGGTACTGCCAGTCGGATTCGGTGCCGCAACCACATAGCCCTGATCAGCCCAGACTTTGAAATTCCATCTGGTGCTCCAGGAGTTGTAATGGCCTCCCTGAGGACCACCATGGACGATGAATGCTAGGGGATACGTCCTGCTCGCATTGAACCCGGTCGGGTATATGATCCAACTCTGGACCTGGGTATTGCTGCCGGCCGTGTAGAACTCGGACACATCCCGAGGACCAAGCCCTGCGAGTTCAGGATCAACCTCGTTTGCCCGAAGGATACTAGTGATGAGCCTTCCTCTCGGTCCAATAATATAGAAGTCGCGCGACGACCAGATTTTAGAGTCCGACACCAAGAGATTGCCATTTGGGAGCACGTAGAATGCGGCGACGACACCGGCATTTGTGATATTGGCTGGCTGGAAGCTTGCTGAAGCCGTCAGTGGAACTTGGAAGAGACGCTCATTCCCTAGGTCGGGACCTGCCACGAAGAGGGAAGAGCCATCCGGAGCCCACTTGAGCTGGTCAGGGGTGGTGTCCCAATTCTCAGCGAGCACAGTGATGTTGAAATTTCCAGGGTCGGCGTTCGCGACGTAGATCTTGTTCTTGTCCGCCTCGTAGGAGATGCCATCCATCTGTAGGTACGCAATCTTTGTGCCATCTGGAGAGAACGAGGGTGCGGCTGACGCTCCTCTCGCGTTTGGCGGGGTTGAGCTCCCCGAGAATGCATTGACCGGCACAGCGGCTCTTGATCCATTGTGAGGGACCAGCCAAATCTGGGAAGACGTATAGTTTGAGAGTGGCAGGTCAATATTCTTGGTCAAGAAGATCACCGAGGACCCGTCAGGCGAGATGTCGTAGTCGCCAGAGCCGCCGAAAGGTTGGACAGGACTCTCCGCCCTCGTGACGTTGGTAATGTTTGTGACGAGATTTCTCAAACCACCACGCAGAGAGTATCTGTTGCCACCCGCTAGTGAACCAGCGAAGACAGCATACTTCCGCTCGGTCAGCCAGGTATCCCAATGCCGGACATAGATGCTGTCATAGATTTTCGCACTACTGAGCGGCTCTGCCGCAAATGCCTCATTGTACGCAGTTCCATTCGGCCAAGCCAGACAGTTCAGCAGGAAGTTGACATTCCCAGACGGCGTGACGACGGCCTTGAGTCCAGAGTATGGTGCCGGAAGCGAGGCAACAAGGTACCTGCAAGCGTCAGTAATGTCGTAGACCTGGAATGCGGCTGCTCATACGCCTCGCCGAGGGCGGTGACGTCGCCAGCGTAAAGGCTGATGCCTCCATTGTCTTCCTCGTTGGTACCGTTGACATAGAGAATGCTCGTATCGTTCGGTCCGACCCAGGCGATTTCCGAGATTTCCGAGCCATTGTACAGCAGTGAGATTCTTCCACTCGTCAAGTTCACCAGGTTCCAAACCGTCTCGGACTCGTGGGTGTCCCACGAGTAAGTCGTCGCACTGAAGATACCGAGTTCCTGTGAAGCAGTATTAGCCTTGCGCTACAGCACGCTGGATATCGCTGACCCCCGAGGGATTGGGCGACAGCTCGCTACGTCGCGGCGCAGCCAGCATCTGCCTTTTCGTTGTGTTAGTGGATTCACTCCAGCGGGGTCGAATTGAATACACACTCTGGCGTGATCGCGACAGCAAACGGCAAGACAGCCAATGCTGCCGCCACAATTGTTCGCGCATACATCTTGGTGAAGTGTTTGAAGAGCAGAGAAAGGTCCAGGGCGAGGAGGCGCTGGCTCAGATAAATGGTTTGTTCTTGACGCTGGCCTTCCTACTTTCCCGTCCTTGTCCGTGCCTCTGCTTAAGTCCCAAACTCGAAGATCCTTTGCCGCCGCTACCCGTAACCTTGTGCGACGGAAATGCCGCCATATTGCAGATTATGCACATCAGACACAAAAATTCGCAAGGAATAGAAGCGCTTGCCGGGTCAGATAGTTACATCAAGCGTGCTCGAAAGTGTTCGTATGCAAGAATTGGCAAGGCACGATGGATTCCAGACTGGGATACTGCATGCAAGAGGCAGGTCAAGAACATCATTTGATATGCACAGTGATAGGCCTCGGCCATGTTGCGTATAGCTTGTGGACAAGAAGCTGTCACTAGCATGGAGATCATGTTATCATACGCCGCTCTCCGCATCTCCAGTAGGAAGGCGTAATGGGTACTGACAGAAGGCAGCTTCACGAGCTTCCTAAGCGAGAAGAAGTCGCCCGAAGCGTCAAGCTTCCCAGTGGTACCAAGAGTCTCTCAAGCCTTGCGGCCATCTTGGCACAGACGCAGTGGTCTTGGGGGTGCAAAACAGAGTTGCATCGTATGCGGTGTCCATCTCTTGCCAAGCCAGAAACGCGCTTGAACCTGATCATTCTGAAGGGTTGCTGGAGGAACGATTCCCATCGGGTCAGAGCTCCGAAACAGATGCCGCAGGAGAGCTTATCGAGGATCCAGCGCGATTCCTGAGGTCGTTGTCGAAGGTGAACGAGTGAGTGAGAACGAATGAATCGAGGGAGAGATTGATTTGAGGTGGGAATGAACTCGGGCCCCACCCGTTTCTCGAAGTGGACGAAATCATGTCGATCAACCCCACCAAATACCTTGGCGCGAGTCAATTCACGTGACTCAACATCTTCGATCTATTGGGTTTTTGAATCCTTCGTTCCTGTGCATTGTAACATACTGCAGAGCCGTTGTCATACTCAATTGCCCAGTCAGACCGGTCTTGGAGATAAGCCGTAGGGTTTGTCGCAGAATTCGAGTCTTTCTGAGAAGTACTCGTAATGGTCGCCCTTTCCGAGCATGACATCTTAGACGTCAACACGATCTCTCGCTTCCTTGCGTGCTCGCAAATACCGTCGCTCTGGACGTGTGATTCTGCTGATGTTCTAGTCTTCTGCGGCAATGCCATTCTCCCCATTGCGGAACACGTATTCTCAGCACTGGAGGCACGACCTGAACTGACGAGAACGCTAGTCATCTGCGGCGGCCTAGGACATTCCACCCAGTTCCTGTACGATGCCGTGCGAAACAGCGAGAAATACCGTAATCTTGCCGACCAGCCTCATGGTCTGCCCGAGGCTACTGTATACGAGCTAATGCTCAAACGATACTACCCCAAGCTCGCAGAACGCATCGAAGGTGGCGAGACGGAGCTCATTATCGAGGACAAGTCTACAAACTGCGGAGCCAACGCCATCTGTACGCGCCAGGTCCTCGAGCTTCACGGCATCACGAAGATGAAGACCTGTATCATCGTGCAGGATCCCACCATGTCACTGCGTACTCTGGCGGCATTCCAGCACACTTACCAGGACGTCGCGCCCTCAACCCGCTTCCTCGCCTGTCCAACCTTTGTACCGAGGGTGTATCTTGACCGCGTCGGATCAGGCGACACACACGTTGTGGCTGACTCAAATGAGTCAGTGAACAACATAAAATCTGCAACGCTTTGGGAGCCCCGACGCTTCTTCGACCTGCTGATGGGCGAAATACCTCGGCTAAGAGATGACGAGAACGGCTATGGTCCCCGCGGAAAAGATTTCATCGTCCACGTCGACATTCCGGAGGAGGTCGAAACAGCCTGGGCACGACTCAAGAAAATTTTGAACTTCAAGCGGTAAGAATGCCATCTAGGACTTCTTGGGGGTTTCCACATCGAACAGATGCCTGCCTGTGCTTGCTTTTGGTCCTGGGTTATCTTTACAAACTTCGGTTCGCCCGACATATCCTAACATGAGGTGTACAAGACTGCCCTGGAAGTTTTCACCCTGTCAATCGCCCACAGGCGGTGACCCCGATTTTCATCCACATGCCATGGTCCAACGCGTCCTCACGAAACCGACTCCCGAGGTCAAAAGAAGCAAATGAGCTCTGTTGGTCCCCACGGCAAGCCTAGTCCCACCAGTCTGGATTGCCCCGGCCGCTGTGTCCTTCGAACTTTTGCCGGCGATGGGACGCGCAGTCCTTGGTCTCTCCCGCGAGAGTGCGATGTCGATGAGTCTTGCATGGCTTGTTCTTTTTCGCGTGCTTGCAAAGGTTGTCTTTGGTCAACATGGACCCTTTGCAGCCGAAGTTCGGACAGTGGTAGTGGATTCGGACTGTCTCGCACATGATGAGTTGGGGAAGTGCTGTGGAAACGCAAGGCTGACTCGCTCGACCTGGATTGGGGAAAGGTTGTGGCCGTCGAATTCGGGTCAGCTTTTCACTCTGTCGGTAATGATGTTTGGCTTGGATCGTGGACCGAAGACGAAGATATCCAGGCTGGACGCGGGTTCTCGGCGGCCGCTTTATCACCTATGTCTAGATCTTGAGACACCTGTCAAAGAGATCGGGCTGTCACGGCGTCCCGATCATGCTACCATCCCGAGGCAACCTGAATCACATTTTCGGCACCCTGGTTGCTCAAGAGCCGCACTGGAGGTGAAATTGCAAAGCTCAGATGTTTTTCCAGAAGGCTGCATTTCTACGTCTTTCCCGATGTCGTGTCCGGGATCGGAGTCGCACAAGCCAGATTTCCCATGTTTGAGCATGCGGGTGTCTGCTTCCTGGTTCCGATCACGAGCCACAAGCACAGGAGCAAACTCGGTAACAAATCAGTGGCGGTGAGAGCAAACCCGGTACATCGACCCGTGAAATCCTTCACGCATGAGACGGTCATGGTGAGTGTGGGCATGGCGTGCACATTTGATGTGTTTGCATCAAAGATGCCTGCCTCGTCCCGACTGACACGGTAAACAGGGAAACAATGTTTCAAAATTCATCATCATGTCTCATTTCGTCATCTCATGCCGGTAATTACAATATGATGCTAGGTGCTGGTGACCAGGGTATCTGCATGATGAAGAAAAAAAGCCATTAAGAGAGCGCGCGATCAGTCCGAGTCCACTTCTCGCGGATCGCTGTTCATCGTCTTCTCCGGTCTGGGGCCAATCCCAACCATAATGCCGGCGGTCTTCCCCTCCCCAAAGCAAGAAAATGCTCTAAAAGAAACAATCTCCACGACTCGGAACACAAATGGTGACCTCCACAGATACCAACGATGAGATGAGAAAAAGCGACAGTGTGGACCGTCCAGCGACGCGATGAGATGGTGGAAGAAATACCCTTGTGGCAAGTGATGCAATATTGCTGTCACGAAACTCCAACGTCGATCCTCGCACAGCTGGCGATCGTCGACCGCACCCTCTGGTGAAACCCGCCATCGATCGCATCGTCGTACATGTCACTCAGCGGCCGAGGTAACATGCCCACACGACTGATACGTTGCTTCACAGCCTCCTTGGCGGGACCCAACGCGTTGGCCACCCCATCCACGCCGATGCGGAGATTGTAACAGATGAGCTTGTCGTGCTTCAAGCCAGGGTAGTGTTCGGATGAGGCGGCGACAGAGAACTTGAGTTTCGAATGGGCAAAGGCGATGGCCGCTGAAGGGGTGAAGCAATACTGTTCCAGGACTTCTGCCCGAAGGGCTGACATGTCGGGCACAGGTAAGGGTTCTGGTTCTGGTTTCGACTCCCAGCAAATGGAAGAGCATGTGCTCAAAGGTGATGATGCCGGCGACGAGCTGGTGCTGGAGATGGAGCTCTGACGAAAGTGTCGAGGCGACGATCGAGGCGAGCGTGGTGACGGAGGAGTATTAATGTCAGTGTCGAGCGAATCGAAGGCCATGGCCAGCGTCCGGAAATGTGAAGATGAACAAGCATCGAGCGTCCGGGCGTAGAAGCGCGTCTCCAACGCCCTGAGACGGGGGAGGCTTCCCACACAGCTGTCCACAAGACTGATGTGGTCCTTGAGGATGGCATCAGCATCATTGGTGTCGCCGAAATCGACGGCAATGTGTGTCAACGACGGCCGGATCAAGGGATGGATGTCCGGGTCAGACATGAACGCCAGAGCATCGGCCTCGGAGCGAAACACCAGAGCATTGAGACTGTAATAAAAGGTGATGGCCTCTGACCGGATTAGGTGACAAGTGTCGAGCAGCCCGCGGGCATCGTCTCTGGATGGTCGCGATGGGCGAAGCCGCCGTTGCGAAGGACACCTCAGTCGCATCGGTTTCGGCTGTTGAAAGGCGAATTTATAAATGAGGTTTCTCACCTCCGCTGGAAGGTCCAAAAGGCCCGGGGGCACGTCCAAAGGGGTTGATGCCATGGCTGTGTGTGCTGGCATCAATCTCGTTGCTGTCGTCTGCCGTATGTGCGCAAGATATGCCACCCAGCCCAACCAGTTGGACGGGGGGAGCAAAAGGGTGAAGCGTAGAAAGGATAAGGGAGAGAGAGACAACAACGCCACCCCTGAAGAATGTAAAAAAGGGTGGTGTTGTCTCGCAGCTACAATCAACAATGTCGTTTGCGAGAATTCAAGCCGTCCACTTGGGCGTGTTTGTCTGTGCTAGTAATGCTGTGGCGTCGACCTCCCCCTTAAAGATGATTCATCGAATCCAACGTGGAGTCGTAGGGCGAGCTGGCGGCGGCCGAGCACCTTACCAAAATAGAAAAGTCGGTGGGTTCCCTCAATCTCGCACAACATGAGAAGCGAACGCCTGGACTGTGTAGCGAGGGCGTGGCCTTCCACGCTGTAAGATCCGGGGGGAAATTGTTGCTGTGAATAGTTCGAAGTTGAGACCCGTATCGGTTCGGTGGGGGGTGCGAGGGAGGGCTTGAGGAGAGCGAAGAAGAAGGAGCAAGAGCAAGAGCAAGAGGCAGAGCAGGATAGCGACCGAGGCCAGCCTTCAAGAAGGAAAAAGACGAGGTTAGTCAACCGCAACGCACAATCAAGTGACGAGTGATTATGAATGAACCAGCGGTTCCATGTGGTCTGGACGAGTGGTGGTATCGAGGGCCCCCTGTGGTGGAGGTTGCCGCCGTGTGCCTTTTTCCTACAGTCATAGCGTAGCCTCTGCCTGGGTGGTTGGCAGTTTTCCCTTCATTGCTCGCCTGTTACTGCGTACTGGGTACGTATTCTCGATAGTGGAACCTTCTTTTGATTGACCTCGCCATGCCATGTCGCAATGTCTCACTTTAGCCCCCTCTGGAGGCAGGGCAACTTTGGCCTACATCAGGTTTAACCCCCGGGAAATTGGCTCGCAGATGCCCTGCGAGATACTGACGGGGTGGCTACGGAGCTGCGACGAATCGTATTGCGAGGCCACAGGAGCCACTTTCCCAGCGCGTGGCGTGATTGGCGGAGATGCCCAAACTGCGCACGGTTAGACTTCGCTAGCGCGGGCTTAGCGAGGATATTAATATCCGAAGCCTAATGCAGCCACAAGGCACTGCTCGCTCGCAGCCAATCGAGCTCCCCCCCTCCAACCAGGGTGGACCAGGGTGCTGCCCTCCAGCCCAACGGCCCCAGCCACGGCCTTTGCCTGCGGTCCTGCCCCATCTTTGCTACTGTACGGAGTACCTCTTTTTGTGGTGGTGGTGCGAACCAGTGTTTCCTCAGCGATCCGCCCGTCCCCTGAACCCTTCCCACTTCGCCCGTGCTCCGGACTCTGCTACGTCACTCGTGACCACATTCCCCTCCACTTCCGACGGGATACAGGGCGTGACAGGTGCGGTGGGCACGCGCGATCAGCGCGAACAAGCGAAAAGGACCCCCCGCGAACCCCTCGTCCGACCGGACTGATCGACAAGATGATGGCCATCATCACGAAAAGATCTGCCATCCTAAACTCAAAAACTCTGCATTTGGTTACAGAATTGTCCGATGAGTCGAGTACCCTTTATACCACAGTAGCAGCTACGGTAGGTACGTTGTGTTCAATGTCTCGAGGCTCGCATGACCTCTTGAAACTGCCACCACCGGGCCACCGGATACCGGTGGGCAGGATCGGAATGTTCCCGTAGCCAGCCAGCCAGCCCCTCAGTCCTGTGTGTATGCACCTGTCGTTACACCACCATTTTCCCCATTTAGACCTTTGGCTGAGCTGTCACGGCACTGACGTTGGGACTTTCGGCGTGCCTGCTCGTCGAGACAAGGTCGCCCTTCTCCTCCTCGGCCAAGACCTTGGCCGTCAATTCGTGCCGTTGCTTTTCTGTCGCGTCCGCGAAATGCACCACCACCTCGTCGCCAAACAACGCGTTGATCTCCTCCAGCGATTTGCCTTTGGTCTGCACCCCTGTGGTCAGCAGCTGAGGTCGCTGTGGTAGTTTGGCAACAGCCCCTTACCTCAGGACACCAAAAGTAGAAGATCAGAATGTTGACAAACGTCAAGCAGACGAAGATGATGTAGTACTTCCACTTGATGTTTGCCAGCGCCGTCGGTGCGGCTTCGACGTACACCAACGTCGATAGGAACGTTCCTGCAAGCGACCAGGCTACGCCTTGCGATCGGATGGTGGTCGGAAAGATCTCGGCTGCATCAGATTATGCATGTCAGCGCGCAGTCCGGGTTGGCCCATTCGCATTCCGGTATTAGGTCGTCAGACGGAGTGTGTTCGGGCATGACAAACAAGGCATATGCGGGCATATCACGGGCTGAACATGGCTCAGGCTCGCCCTACGGACCTGGCATGCACCGGCCGGATGGACAGTCCTGTCCGGCGCCCCTCTCCGTCCAGACTGTTCAACGGCGTATCGGTCGCCAGGACTCTGATCATGCATCGAAGGTGAAAGAAGAAGAACCGGAAATTGTACTTACAGCAATATACATAGCCAACCACATCGATGCCGCCGCCGTAAAACGTGATGAAGCAGAACGAGAAGAAGACGCCCATCGAGAGTCCGGCATGGTTCGTCGTGCCCGCATATTGGGCGATCATGGCGGTCTCCAGGCATACCGAAAGCATGCACCCGATGAGTCCGGCGACTGTATTTTAAGCGACATCCATACACTTCAGCTCTTCCATTCCGACGTTACACGGACAAGAACCACTGCAAGGGAATTTCTCAACTTACGCAGCAGTGGTTTTCGTCCTACTCTGTCAAGCAGCAACGCGCCCACAAAGTTGGATATTGTCGCCACGGTCACATAGGCCGCTCCCAGGATCAGGGGAACGCCGCCTGTGAGGCCGAGATTCTGGTACAAGGAGACGATGTAGACTGACGAAGATTGCGTGAGACAAGGCCCGCTCGTTCCGGCAGTGTATTCCGTTGAGTGGACGTACCATAGATGACCTGCGCCCCCGTCGATTGAGCGGCATACTGCACGGGGTGTTCAGCACTCGAGCGTCATGTGGCCGGGAGGGCAATCAAACCTGGATGAAGAAGCCCATCCAGAACCGCTTCTGGTAGGACTTGTTCTTGAGCATGCCGCCCCATCCGCCGCCCTCTCTCCATGCCGCCGTGTCGACTTGAACCTGTTGAGTCATTTGATAGAACTCTTCGCGCGCGTATTGCAGACTTCCTTCGTCTTCAGCATCGCCTCCGTGCAGACGCTTGACGATCTGCCATGCCTCGTCGCGGCGATCCCTTGTCAGCACTGGGAGAGGTGAGCGCTTTCGACGTCGACAGAAGAGTCTCCCAAGTCGACTTACACCAGCGGGGAGATTCTGGAATCCACGGGGCACACAAGGCCAATGCCAACGGTGGGAGGATCGACAGTGCAATCGGGAAACGCCACTGGAAGGACAAGTTCGAGGAATAGTAAGTCCCAGCTCCAACCCATCCGGCTAATGCATAGCCCATAACAATCCACGTGCCGTGTTGGCCCACCAAGAAGCCACGAGCATTCGGAGGCGCTGGAAGCGGTGTCAGCAGGCAACGCAAACGAGGCCGGTGGTCGGTGGTCGGTGGTCAGTGGTCAGCACTCACAAATTTCGGCTTGATAGAGGGGAATCAGAGTCACCATCATGCCGATTCCCCAACCTGCGATGAATCGCGAAACCAAAAACATGGCGATGTCAACAGAGCCACTGTTTTGTCATCGGATTAGTGTTGCGAGAAGTGTATCGCGGACCACCCAACCCCCGGGGGATGGCTGAAACCGCTCCAGGCCTTCGGAAAGACTCACGTTTCAAGGGCGCCTCCTACGACGTTGACCGCCGAAGCCAGATACATGGTCTCCTTCCTGCCACGGGCCTCGCACATCCAGCCCACGTGAAGGGCGCCGAAAAGGGCGCCTGCGCAATAGAGTCCATTGATGGTACCGGTGATGGCGTTCGTGTAGTCGGAGTTTGCTTGCAGGTTGAATTTCTGAATGAAGCCCGGCTGTCCGATGGTATTGGAGATGACTGAGAAGCCATATCCGAAGGTCAAACTCCCCAAGGTCAGGACGAGGATGATGCGCAGATTGTACCAGGTGTATGTTCGCGCCATGTTGACAGCCGCAATGCGATGCGAGAAAAGCAATAGGACGCAGGAGGTAGCTTAATTCTGCATGTCGACTGTGGGGTCTCCACGATTGATATACACCGTTTGCATCCTTGCGGGTCTAGGCTCGAGAATGGTGTTAGGGACTCGAGGATGGCAGCATCGTGGCTCTCTCGCTGTACGTAGGCTATACCGTGCTGACTTCGGTTATCCAGGCTGATCATGGAACTGGGGAAAAGGCTCGGCCGGGGATTGCAGCGACATATGTCCGATGCCAACGGGCCATGGCTGCAATTCGTGAGCCCAGCGACGCGTAGTTGTCATGCCTGCAAAGGCAGCAACGGGAGTGATCTGCTCCTGGTAAGGTTCATTCGAGTCTCTGAGAAGTCATTACCAGCGCATAGCAGAGAACGCCACGCGGACCCTTGGCTTCCAGCGTGTTTCAGTACAGTACCGACTTTCGCTCCTCGTCTCCAACTCCCCGCCAAACTCTCGTCCACTGCGCCACACTCCGATGGTCATTGCCGATACTCTGTACCCAGTACAGCAGCTCTGTGTGGGATTGTCCCTAATTAAGCTGGACATGTGCCTGTCTGGTCCCCGTACAGCTGCTACACATGACGTGGTGCGCAAGAGCGGACGTCCATGGAGCTGCCTTCTGGTCTCGTGCAGCCCCCTCTTCTCCTCCCGTGTGCTTTAACTGTGGTGCTAATCATTCATTAGTCAGTGACACTCATGGCTCGCCGTCGAGCTTGAGCCTTACCTTGGCCCCGGCCTGCCTCCTCCGAGCACCGGTGCAGTACCCCAACCTGCTCTCTCCCGCATTCATTCATAAGGGCCGCGCGTGGAAATTTCCCGGGGCATAGCCTAATGCCTTCTCTCCCTTCTCACAGCCTTCGACTTCCGGAGAATGACTCCACCCAAGGATGGATCAACCACACCAGAGCTCGTCGACACAACGTGGCCGGCCGAGGCAGCGTTCGGCTGTCGCGTGTACGTGGTGTCACTCGCGGCGCGTCAAGTGCAATGCTGCAGCGAAGGGGACGCCCTGCTCGAACTGTGAGGTTGCACGGCGGAACTGCCTGCTGATCGAGAGCAAACGAGGCAAGAAGCGGAAGGTGTCAGCTTCTCCTTCTGCCATTCAAGACGATTTGCCAGGTATCGTGCCAGCGTCTCCAGGAGAAGCTACTGCTGAGCCCGGCAACGTCTACGATCCCTTGAAGGGGGTTCGCACGCGGCCGAAGAGTACGCAGGATGGGCGTCCTCGGACTACGTCCACGTCGACAGGTGTCGCCGACCAGCCCGACCCAGCACAGGAGACTCAAGAGACCCTCTATGCCCAGGTGCTCGACCGAGCTACTAACGGCGATGCGCTCCGAGATGTCAAGGAAGGTGTGGTCCATTCGTGCTACATGGGCGAAACATTCAATTTGACCCATCTGCTACGCCAAACCAATGCGGACTCTGCGCGATCCGCGCGCAAGAGACATTACTTGGTACGATTTGACCCCAAAAATCGAGCAACACACCCGGTGGAAGACGACAGCTTTGTGCTGTCATTGCTCCGGCATCAGGGCTGCTTCACCATCCCTTCTGTCCACACGTGCTACCAGTTGTTCCGCACCTACTTCGAGTATGTCCACCCTCATTACCCGGTCCTCGACCGCGCCGACTTCGCTGCGCAGTACACCGATCTCGAACATCCGCCCTCTTATCTCTTACTCCAGTCCGTGTTGTTTATGGCGGCCGGTCATTGTGATCTCTCTGTCCTGATCGAGGCCGGCTTTCATTCGCGCTACCACGCTCGGAAGACCTTTTTCCAGCGCGCGAAAGCGTTGTATGACAGTGACCATGAACCGAACAAAGTTACCGTCGTGCAAGCCGTCTTTCTCATCAGTTTCTGGTGGAATGGGCCCACCGATCAGAAAGACACGTGGCACTGGCTTGGTGTCGCAATCAGCTTGGCACTCACGCTGGGAATGCACCGTTCGACCAAACATTCAGACATGAAACCCAAGGACCGGTGCTTGTGGAAGAAGATCTGGTGGTCGCTCTTTGCAGAGGTAGGATATATCGTCACTCTTGACAGGCATAGACTCATTTCCTCCTCTAGGACAAGCATGCTGCCACCGCCCTCGGTCGACCGGTCCACACTCGACGGAGAGATTGTGATGTCGAGCTCCTCGAGGTCACCGACTTCAATGAACAGCCTGTCGCGAGACCTGATATCTTTGGCACGCCGGAGCGCGTTGATTGCCTCTACGTGATCGCCCTCGTCGAGCTTTCCTTCATCGCCGAAAGCATTGTTGAGAAGTCCTTTACGGCGTTCAATGCCACAACCGCCGACAACATTGACATGTTTCAGGATTGTTCCGATGCGCTTGAGCAGTGGAAATCGCGACTTCCGCCGCAGTTGTCCATTGATAACACAAGCAACTGCCTCTGGACGAGCATGCTGCACATAGCACACAGGTAGGCGGGACTCACTATTGTGCTCCTCCTCAACTGACCTCTACCGTTTAGCTGGTTTGAGATCGTCACCCATCGTTCTATTTCGCCGCAAGACCTGTCTCCGCCCTCGATGAAGACTGCTCATACTCTGGCGATGGATGCAGCCAACCGTATGGTTCGCATCGTCGAAGAACTGCTCTCGCAATCTCACATACTGCACTGTCCCATTCACATTGTGCCGGCATTGTTCGCAGCCATGGGGATGCAAGCGGTGGACATATGCTCCGGGCAGTCAATCCTCGAACAGCTAGGGGTGGTCAAGGTCCGCCTCGCAATGATAGCTCTGCGCGAGCTTCAAAGCACCTGGCCGGTGAGCGGTTGGATCTTCCGCCTCTTCGCAAAGATTGTACGCAGGATACGCAACGGTGACGAGTTGTTACCCAACGAGCCTGTTAATGGATTGCCCGTCCAAGCAACAACCCACGTCCCTGACCATGATGGCCCAGGTGCACTCGTTAACGGCCAGACATCGGCCGAGGAACAGCATTTGATGGAGAGTGGCAAATTACAGTATGGGCAGGATCCAAGCTTGACTCAGCTATACACCATGTCAAGTCACGCTCCCGGTCGACAACTTTTCCCCGAAGCTTCAAACATTGCCATGCCGATGAGTTATCCAGCAGACTGGGGAACGATACTTGACGACGGAGCATGGGCGGACTTTGAGTACGAATTCTGAATGGACGGCTTCGATTAAGGACGCTGCCTTGACTCGCTTCACAATATGCATATGGCATTTGGCGGACTCGCGACGCCCCCGGGAAAGTTCAGCGGCGCACTGGTGAAGAAGAAACTCCACTTGTTCAGCCTCCGGCAGTTCTCAGCAAGTTCGTCGAGATCGAACATCTCTCCGACGGGCATGCCGAACAAAGCAATCAGGTTGTCATGCAATCCTGTCAAAGAGGGTCAGCGGAGGAATTGGATTAAGAGGGACTAGGTTGTCATCACTTACGCCACCTCTCGTTCTTCGCTGGCCATGCCTCGAACACATTCGCATCACCTCCCACGGCCGCAAAATGCCGATTCCACAGCCACTCCACCGACTCTTTGGTGCCCTCGACGCCAGCCCAGGTCGATCCTTCCACCGTGCCCTTTCGCCGTTCCTCGCTGGTAGCTTCTCTGTACCAGTGGACGAAGCCAGACCGAATGAGCAATATATCCCCATGTCGCAACTTGGTCCCCTGCCACGCAGCAACTGCCTCGAGGTCTTTCTCCGAGATGGCATGCCGCTCAATGGGCGAGTATGAGATGCCTTGTTCTTGTGCCCAAGAGAGGTAATCGAGGAGTACGCCTCGGCCGACGACTCCCCCTTTCTTTGACCATTGATCAATACCATTGCGGACTTTGGCATTCGGACCGGTGATTTCCTCGGCCTTTACGCCGTTGTAAAACAACCCGGTCGCCTGATGCGCCCAGTGTCCTTTCCCGTCAAGCCATGTCAGCGAAGCTACGGGCGGAGTCGTACTACGGGGGTATGGTCAGAGGAAATGAATAATACTCACGTAACCCATCCCACTGACTCCCACTCTGCGTATTCATATACACCTCATCATCATGACCTATCCAAGGACAGTCGTCCCCCTGCGCCGCCCGCAAGGACATGATTTTGTGGCTGGGCGGTCTTCTGTTCGAATGCGGCGTCTGACAATTATCCAACGACCAGTTGATCGCCACGCTGATTCCATGCTGGATCTCCTGCCTCGCGGCTAGAACGGTCCCGGGGGTCAAGAGATTGAGGGTGCCTAGTTCGTCGGGCGCATCAAGACCTAAGAGATTGTCCCACAAACCCCAGGTACAGCCAGCGGGAAGGCCAGGGACTGCTGGAAGATTGGCATAAGAGGGAACTTTGACCTTTTTGCCGTCCGGGAGTTCTAAGATGCATGGCTCGCCATTTGAGTCGTCGTGATTATGATGGCCATTGAGTGTGATGTGGGGATCAGATTTCGAGGGAGAGACTGGGGCCTTTTGTGCAGGCATCTTCGTGGCGGTAGAAGGAAGGAGGGGAGTAGAGTTGAGTGAGAGTTGAATAGAGAAGTGAGTACAGTATATTGGGGAATCCCACCAACAACCGGGCTGCGAACCGGTATGTACATTACGGTCCAGTGTACCACCTACAGGGCCGCAAGGCTAACTAAATACTGCATGTTGTATGCACACATGCACGTACCTGCCTGTGTATCCCGATTCCTGACAGTCCAGGGGTATAAGCATAGGCGTGTACCTAAACCATAACTCATAAGCGACGAGATACACCACTACAACAAGGATGCAGGATGCAGGTGCAGGATGCATGCTGCGGGACACGGACTTGGATGCATGCATGCAGGTATGTAACCAGCCAGCCAGCCAGCTTATCTGTCTGTACAGTACTGTGGTAAACTGTACAATACTCGCCCAGTGCTGTTGGACTGTTCCAGCGAAGATCGTCCATTCCCCGTTCCCGATAAGCAGGAGCAGAAGCAGAACCAGGCCAGACAGCCAGCGTCGTACACAGTACACAGTAACATCCTACATACCACATACGTAGTTTCTCCAATACCTAGTACCCGCGAGGAATCACGGACCCACGCCCCCAGTGAGACGTGACTCGGGATGGAGGAGAGAATCACGGACTGTGTATGCCGTGCATGACAGTACCACAGGACGAAGGATTGGTAATGATTTTTGCGACGTACGGTACGGAGTACTCACGAGTTTGAATCTCGGTTTGCGGCACAGCACAGCACAGCACAGGGAAGCACCAAAGCAAGTACCTCGTATTCCGTAGTGCATACCACGGTACTTCGTACTGTGTAAAGTGTAAAGTGGACAACGGTACTTGGACGTAGGCTATGTACTGTACCTATGTCGCCCGTGGTGCCCCTGCCTGCCTCGCTTGTGCCGAGCATGAAAAGGCTATCGATCGATCGATCCGTCCGTCGATAGGCTATTACCGTGTACGAGTGACTTACTCGTATCGTGTCACGGGTGTGTGGGGGTGTGGAGCGGGAAGGGTCATCGTTGGCAGTACGGAGCACGAATTACGTACCTACGCGGTACATTGAACTACCTAGGTACGGAACGCGATACATGGGCACTCGGGGCAGAGCACCCACATAGACACCACGGTACAAGTAGCAACGGTGCGCGTGACGTCTTGATAGTACGTATTACTGGGTGCTGGGTGCTGGGGTATTAGGTACCTCGTACTGGGTACCTTGTGCTGCGTACCTCCAACTGAGTTCCGATTACGTAGGATATGTATTTGTGTACGCCGTATGCCGTACGCTGCCCACCACGAATATAGAGACAGGTCAAGACACCCATGGTGCTGATCAGTGGCGTCTTCGCTTCTTCATATTGTCGTCGTGCTGTGTGCCTGTCGATCGGGAGGGGCAGGGAGGCCTCCTTGGTGAGGTGTAGGCTGTCGACTCTGCTTGCGGCTTGCTTGTCAGCCTACCCGTCCATCGATACCGCACTCACACTAGATGCGAATACTGTGCGTGGTATCACACCCACATTAAATACGACTATTGTGTGTTGGAGGCCCCACGAGTACTCCGTACGGGCTCGAGTTGAGCGCCTGCACGGATTCGATGCCCAGCCTCGCCACATACACGGAGCACAGCGCGAACCGCTGCGCCTACATTTGTCAACGAACACTGCATCTGCAACTGGGGGCCGGGAACCAAAAACGCAGCCCTTGATGTTACTATCGTGTTTGCGACACGAACACCATAGCGGATCCATCATTAGCAGGCCTAGGTAGTCGTAGTGGGAGCCTCGAGGCTCGAATACCCTTGGCATGGTGGCATGTTGTCTCGGCCTCGTATCCCGAACTCGCTCCATTGGTTGTGCCTCGTATTCGGACTGCCGTGTTCTGTACACGAGAATAAACTACGTTTACATCGCCCCAACGCAGCACTGCCTCTCCGAGTCCGACTCATGTGGAACGTCGTTCAAGGCAAACAATGTACTGGCACGGGACCGGTGAAGCGTGCCTGAAGACGATTCTGCGGCGGTCCAAAAATATCGAGGAATTGGCATCACTGGTCCTCGTGCTGCTGGCCGTTGTTTTATCTCCGTTCGGGGTTTGGACCCTACTTGCTCATGCGATATTTGTTCATCACCCAATCATCCACTTGTATTGTTGTCGTTTGCTTTCATATGCCTTGTCCGTCGTCACGGCCCCAAAGCTTGACGGTTCTGTCATGCCCGCTGCTGGCAATCCACTTTGCGTCGTTCGTAACGTCGACGCTAAGCACATTGCCTGAGTGGCCGCTCAGTTGCTTGACGAACGACCAGTCGTCCGCCGAGTAAATGTTGACATTCTTGTCGAATCCGCTGGTCACAAAGAAGGTGCCTGCTTTCCGAGGGCTGTGTTCTTGCCTCACGCTGTTGCTCTCAACAAGGGACGATTTCTCGCCATCCAAGCCCTTGAACCATTTCAGGTCCGACACGTTTCCATTGTGCGCGCCGATTCCACCCACGTTGCGGACTTGTCGAAGGTCCCAGCATTTGACCCACCCGTCTCCGGACCCCGAGAGGACGCGATAGTTGTCGATCCCCCAGTCCAGGCTGAAGATTTCGCGAATGTGCCCTTCCAAGATCATGACGGTACGACCTGTGCGGAGATCCCATATTCGGCCAATACTGTCGAACCCTCCGCTCGCCAGGAGAGATCCATCTGTGTTGAAGGCGACTGCGAACACTTGTCGTGAATGACCTTCCTGGAGGAGCAGCTCCGTGGTTGTTTCGACGTCCCATAATCGCCAAGTGGTGTCAAACGAGGCAGATGCTAGGTATTTTCCCGAAGGATGGAACTCGACTCGACAGACACGGTCGGTGTGTCCCTGGAGGGTCGCTAATGGTGTTTCTTTGTTCAACGACCAGAGATGTATATCGCTTGCACCACCTTGTCCACCAGCTCCACTTGCCAAATTGACAGAATCGGGAGAGACATTTGAATCCGCCAACGTCGCCCTGGGATACCAAGCAATACCTCCAACGATCCCGGTGTGGCCTCGTAACGTGCCTTTCTCGTCCAGGTTGGGAACATCGAGTAATTTGATCCCGCCGCCCCAATTTCCGGCCGCAATCAACTCTCCGTTGGGTGCAAATCGAGTGATACTGACCGGCCGCTCTCCTGCAATCTGTGTGCCAAACAGTTCAAACCCTTGTAACTTCTCCTTTATCTCTTTGCGATGTTTGATATGTGTGCGGAGGGGGATCGTCGAGTCCTCCCGTTGCCTCTGTATGCGAGCTTTTGCTCTTGGTAATGAATATCGCGCAATCTGCCGTCGAGCTTCAAGAAGCTCTGGGAGCCCCTCTGTGTAGAATTCCTCTTCTTGATCACCTGCGTCGTCTGCTTCTCCCATTGGCACATCTGCCACCGTTTCATCTCGGTCTGCCGTATCCTGCTGGTCGAGCAGAAGCTCTCGTAGACGATCTCTTCTCTCAGCTGGACCTTCCCCAAAAAGCGTAATCGGCTGTCCAAGTTCTCTGAGGCGCGCTCTCACTTTCCCGTCGTCTGTGGGCACTGCTAACATGGCAAGTCTTCGTTTTCGGTCAAATTGAGAGAGAATGGCTGACGCCTTCTCCGGGGCGACACCACCCGCTCCAGTAGGTATCTCATAGTTTCGGTCGACGGCTAGGAGACACAAAGAATTAGCCGGAGGGGAACAGTACTTCAGGCAGAGGGAGCGACCCACGAATGCTGGCCAAATCAATGCCCATCTCAGTGTCCTGCGTCTCAGCCATTTCCGTCAGCCTTACTTGTCTCCTGTTGGCGCTTCGCACAGAGAGACGGTCGAGCCTTCAAGGCAAATGTAAATAAAGAGGCGCGTAGTACCAGTAGTTGGGTGGTTTCTTACCTGAGGCTCCTCCTCTACATATGCTTGACGCGACGGATGCATCATGGCGCCGGTCGTCAATGGGGTTGCTGCGCGCGGCAGATGAGTATCTGAAGGATGCCCGGTCGAAGCTCAGAGAGGTGCCGCAGGAAGTCGGTAGCAGCGTATGTGTGACTGGAGCGCCGCTCATCATCGTCACGGCGAACAAAAAGTTGAGGGCACGGCCAGGCTGCTGTGTCATTGGCTGCAACGCTCCGCAGTTGGAGGCTCAAAGTGAGTGTTCATCATGACTTCAGTTTGTCCATCACTTTCGCTTCACATTCACCTCCGTTGAAGTTGACCACTGTATATTACTTTACTTTGACCGTTTCCACGCGTTGGACTTCGACTGCTGTCTTAACAATTACTTTGGGCCACTTGTACGCACACCACCACCAAGCCGACTCTATGCTGCTTGCTCGACATCCTGGCAGACAAACAAACTTCCCTCCAGCTTGCCCATCCGTAGAATCGTGCATTTGCCTGCCCCTTGCGCCCTGTTGATCTACACGCCGTGTCTTCGCCATGGCTGGTGTAGCAGCTTCGGCGGCGGAGATGATCCCCCAACTCGAAGCGGCGCGTAAACTCGCTTTGGGAGATCCTCAAGTATACAATCAAGTCCTCCCTGGCATTTTGCCTATCATCGGTTCCTCTGGCCACGTTGAGGTTCGAAGATGGGGAGCCGAATTCCTCGCCGAAGCCTTCGCCAGCCCTTCTCTCCCGAATACGCAAAAAGAGCAACTCTCGTCCGATGTACTTCCCACGCTTCGAGCCATGTTGGACACGCCGGGGGAGGATGCCGCAGTCACAAAGAGTGCAGTTCAAGCTGCTGCTAGTCTATACCCGCTGGTTTTCAGACGAGTGTACGTGTGGGACATATAGCCTCGATGTTTCGACAGTTCCTGACAGCTTTTCTAGAATTTCACATCCTACAGAGTCTACAATATGGCAGGAAATGAGCCGGATAAAGTTGAACATCCTCCAGCGGATGGACTCTGCTCCGATCGCAGTCCGAATCTGCTGCGTCAAATTCGTCCAGAAAGTCGTCCAAGTAGAGACTCCCGGCCTGATATCAGACCCACGGGTGAGTTGATTCGATGTATTTCGAGTCTCGATGCTAAACCTATCCAGCGTCCTGAGCAGAATGAGACCTCCATAGCGCTTGTCCCACGAACACACCCGTTGTTACAGCTCCCCAATCTCGAGGCAGAAGCGTCCGGTCTGCTGGACAGGCTGTTGAGCGTCTTCCAGGAAAATTCGATGGATCCCATACTGGTCGATGCCACACTGAACTGTGTGGCCATCCTGATCAGGAGTCGGCCTTCCATATCTACAAAAATTATCTCTGCAATCCTCAATTTCAACCCAATGAAACAGGCAAACGCTCCCATGACACCTCGACTCATGGTCATTGTGAGATCACTGGAACGAACGACAAGGGCTTTATTACGATGGGCTTTGAGGGCGGTTCCCAATCACCCGATGGAACAAAAGATCCAAGGGTACCTCATGCGTCTACAGCAATCTCGTACCGCGTTATTTTCTGAATCCACGGCCCAGAAACGCCCAGCAGAACCTACTGATGGTCTGGATGATGCGAAAAGACAGAGACTGATGGGAGCAACACGGAAATATCCACCCATGCCACCTCCGCCAAACACCTTTTCCCACCTATTCACCCTCACCGAAGATACCAGCCTCCAGCAATTCGACGTTACGCTCCTGCCAGCTGACATTGTCAGCACCGTGACTACTGTCTTGCTGCAGCATGTGGATGCTGCTTCTCTAGATGATGCCATTAATGCTATTCGGCAAAGGTATACCCATCTGCAGAAAATGGCCCAGACGACCCACGTTCCGGACGTGCCCTTGCTAGGGCCGACGGGTATTGATGACGAAGACGACTATGACCCCGAATTAGCTACTGGTTCAGATCACGCACTCTCTCAAACCACAGAAAAGGCACTAGAGGAGCTTGCTCAGCCCGCGATTGAGTTAGGCCCCTTTGAGCTGCCCAAGCCTCCTCCTTTGACTGGTGTTGAAGTCGCCACTTTGGCGGATCAGACCATTGGCCACGTCTTTCAACTGGTCGCCTCTCTGGATGCGGCTGGACAGTCTCATGCGAAGCAGAAGTCGGGTTTGAATCGCATAGCTGCTAGCTCCAACGACCGGGATTCCTGGGCGACAATTCTCATGCGTCTCGCAACCAGGGCACCATCAGGCCTGAGTGATCTCGCCGGTGTCCTGACCGATGAAGAGGTAGAGACGGCCAACAACCAAATCATAAAGCAGGAGAATGCCGACGAGCCAGCAAACGTGGCAAATCGAATCCGCCAAACTCTATTCATGTACGTCCTTGAAGATTTCCGACCGCGCCTTAACCTGGCCATCTCCTGGCTCACCGAAGAATGGTACTCGGACAAGCTGGCGGCAAAGACACACCCCGAGCTGGGCCACCTACCCAACTATACCCGTTGGGTGAATCGGCTCGTCGACCGACTACTCCCTTATCTCGATGCTCGCGACAAAAACCTTCTAATTCGCTTCCTGTCCGAGATTCCCAGCATTGATCGCGAAGTTCTTGACAGGGTCAAGACACTGGCTCGAGATCCGGAGAGGATCAGCATGTGTATTCTTGCGATGCAATACCTACTCATGATGCGACCGCCTGTCCGAGACACGGTGCTGGACACCATTGAAAGCATCTGGCACGAGGGAGATGAACAGGTCAAGCAGGCAACCATCAAAGTGCTGAACAAATGGCGGCCGGGTTTCCTAGAAAGGGCAGCGAAAAAGGAAGAGGAGGTCAAAGACGAGACCAAGCCCAATTTGAATGGGGTGAAGAGTCCACCTATCGAGGCTATTCCTGGACAAATGGAACCTACGAGTAATGATCCGAGGAGGAGAAAACAAATGGCTGCTGCAACTGGATAGCCACAGGTATGCCAATGTATAATCACCGACGGTGTGCGTGCGTTATGTGTGCGTGCGTATGCTGCTACGAAGCACGTGGATCAAATCTTGAGGTTGACCGGGATGCAAGTGACAGTGGTGCGAAGAGCAATTTTCACAGACGTGCGTGCCATTTACAGACCATCCAGGAACATGAGACTCTCGGTAATAGCACAAGGATGTGAACTTGGTGAATCAGTATCTAGTCTAGGCCCGTGATCTGCCGGGGCCCTACACGTCGTTCTGTGACTCACTTACTCGCTCTAGCATGGACCCTCTTCCGCCTCCCGAACTCACTCCTCCCTATTCCTCCTTACTGTACTCCCGCTACCAACCCCTCCCTCCAGCACTTCCACCGCCTCCTCAGCCCTCTCCACGGGCACGAACAAATGGTCATGATAGAACCCGGCCACGGGGTTGACGCTGATCCCCCGCTCCGCCAGCCTGGTCGCCAACACGGCCATGAACCCGACGGCCGAGAGCGACGAGTGCACGTCACACGTCAGGAGGCGGCACGGGAACGCGTACGTGAGGGTCGTCGGCGGCGACTGGAGAAGGCCACCGTCCAGGGGAGTGGCGGCATACCGCTCCGCTACATCGCGCTGGAGGATCAAGGTGATTTGATCGTCGCGAGGGATGCTCGGAGGAGGACTGGACGTCGCTGCGCCTGTCCTTGTCTCTACTCCTGCGTCTGCGCCTGCATCTGCGTGCGACGACACAGCAGCAGACGCAGACCTGGTGCACGGTTCGCGGAAGAACAGGAGGATGTCGGAGAGGGGGATGGGAAAGACTGTCGTGCCATTCCCGTGAAAGTGCGAGGCCGGCATGGTCGCAAAGACGTATGTTTCCGGGTGGATTGTGATTTTGAGGGTGGAGAGGAGGGCCGAGAGGGATGTTTCGCCTCCGGTTGAGGTCGAGGTTGAGGTTGTCGCGGCTGTTGTGGGAGAAGTGTCTGGCATGGACATTGTAGGTGATAGTACAGAGTACCTTTCTGCCTCTCCGGGGCTTAGTTGTTTAACATTTAGACTTCCGACAGTCTGCTAGGTGAATGGATAACCGGGTGTCCTGTGTCCCGTCTCTCGTGTCTCGTGTTGCGTGTTGCGAGTGAGTTATTCACAGCTGAGAAGATCAGGATTGAAGGCGTACAGTAGCAAGGATGCACAACCACCCCGAGATTAGGACGGTTCCATTTCAATGCCGTCCGCCATTTCTACGTGCAAGTTGATTTCATTTTTCTTTGTTTGGCACTTTTCAATTAGTGTTGACTCGTCAACATCTGTAATGTTGCCCTTGTCGAAGGGCGCGCCTCTGAAAAGGTTCCAGAAAGGAGTTACGCAGTACGGAGTACAGAGTATAGACGCCAAGAATAATCCAAGGAGACTTTGTCGTTGAGATCAGCAAACCAGGAGTGATAGTGAACTCACTCAAGCTTGAGCCTCGAAAATACCGCATGTATCTCTTCTCCCAACTGCAGGATCATTCCCACATACAACCTCGGTAAAGACCTCCCTCGTTGACCCGCCCTTGATCAACTGGCAATATGTAGCTGTGGTGCAATCAATTGTTCCACACCCACCAGTTCTACGACTACCTCGCAGATGAGTCGGCCCAGTAGAGTTGAGGAAGGCATAAGTAGCTCAAAGTCGAACGCAGCTGGTGCTGCCCAAGCACCGATGAGGCTACAGCACAGCTGAACCACCACCAGTGAAGCATACCCGGCGAGAAGGGCCAGTGAAAGTTGGAAGACGACGCTGGAGGTGTCGTATCTGTCGCCCGGGATCGAGCCTCGAACATCAAACTTATTGAAGAACGAGGACTCGGCGATTTGTTGCCGACTCGTGCTCTCACAGCAATGCTACTGTAATCGATAGAGGCAAATGAGATTGCGAAACTCGAGAACGGAGGAAACAGAGCTCTATGACGAAGAAGTGTGGCAGTCCTCAGGGGGGGCGTCCCAAGCTGATACTGTAACTAATTGAGTCTTGCCGGCTGAGTGTACGGCGATCACAGTAGGCGTTCGAGGCTCGGCACACTCGACTGTATACAGTTCAAGACTTGCATCTGGTAAGGCACCACATATTTCGTGTCCACACAGCTGGACTTTGAAACCCGCGGATAATGTTGGCAGGAGACCTCACGTCTAAAAGGTTTCCACTCCTTGGATGTCGCACTGCATGTACTGGAAAATGAGAAGATGAGTTGACAGTGTCTATTCATGCTGGGCTCTTTGATGAAAGTAATCAACTCTTCTATATCGTCGCGAGGGTCCTGCAAAAGGTGTCAGCACAAGGCCAATCTCGGTGGCCCATTGTTGTTACGTGTCCGTGCTTGTAAAGGGACTGCTCTCTGAACAGATGGCAACCAGCAAGCCATACAGGTGAATGACTCCGACCCTGCCGATTGAATGGACATTCCTGGTGCCATGATAGAGCTCGACTCGGGCGACTCACGCCAAACATCTTCCTCATGCTCGGCAAAAGTAAAATGGAACATAAGTGAGATTAGATTGAGCGGCCGCTGGGATCTGGATGCGACCGGAGCGGAGCAGGTTCGTGGCCTTCGTTGCTGGAACAGAACCTCGCGTCCACCAGCAGACGTCTCATCCAAGCTGAAATTCAATTTTCATGTCGTTTTCTCCTGAATGAGACACAAGTGTTGCAGAAGGTGCGCTTGGAACGTTCTGGTCAAAATCGATTCATCGTCCGGTTATGACGACCGAGAGGCACACTTGTAGCCGGAGTTTTACAGCAGGAAGTAGACAAGATCATGAGAAATCGACTGGCTCAGTAGGCTTCACAGGGAGTTAGGACACTGGATTTGGGAAGGCGGCATTGTGGCAACCCAGCCCAGTCAAACAGGCCTGCGGTGAAGGCGTCTCGAAGGAATCAACGGGTTAGCCAGCCTCAACCCCGACGTCCAAGCCAATTCCCGTACTTACCTGGCACGTCCCTACTCAGTCAGCCGCAGGAGGACAAATGAGTCCAGTGATCGGCGCCAGGAGCGCGTAGCCCTGGTATCTGCTCTGCGCCTTTGAGACCAGTCTAGGTTTTCCCTGTCATCGTCGCAGTTTGAGACGGTAGAAGGTACAGGTACAGATGAAAGAGTGGTGAAGAGTGACGAAGCTGAAAGCGCATTCTGAACAAGGCTTGACGCTACCCCCCACCGTTGCCCGTACGGTCAAGCATTACAACGTCCGGGAACACGAACTCATTCTGAGGTGAATCTCAAATACCCTACCTTCTCATTGCCTCCCATTGCCTGCCATTGCCTCCCTCCCCATACAAATCTCGAGATTACCGCGCCCTGAATCGTACATACAATAAAGGTAGCCTCTCCAAGTAAGTTACAAAGTCCTACATGACCGTACAGCAAGCCGCGACACAACACCCCACGGCAAGCCCCGCCGCGAATGGCCCAGCACCGCTCTCCTTCTTCACAACGACAGTCTGCGATCCCTCGATCGGTCTTCCGTCCACTGGATATGTTGATGCTGTCTCTCTAGGACGAGTAGGATTTTCCACGGGATATGAATAGGGATAAGGGTGCGGCGCAGGAGGCCGACTCCCCGGCCCAGCCCCCAACGCAGGACCCTGGTAGTAGATGTGGCCGTTCTGGACGATGTATTCCGGCGGCGGTTTCTGATCGCTTTGAGTGCCCTTTAGGTATTCGAATGCCAGATCGTCAGCATTGTACTTTGTCGAGGTAGACGGGGAAACTATCACGCTGGCTGACCTGTCTAGTGGTAACTATCGGTCGATTTACGTACCATTGTGAAACTCAAGTGCCACGGAAATATCACTTGGTTATCAAGTGATCGTACGTGTGAGTATGTATCTAAATACTTGGACTGACTCCGTCGTAGTTAGGCGCAAAGCGATCTTAGAGCCGTCGCAAATCCAGAGCCCAGTATGAATCACGGGTGCAAGATTGTCGTTCGAAATGCGGACTCAACGTAGTGACGCAGCGTCGTGGTGTTGTAAGGGCACAACCTAGGACTATTACATTCCCTCTCTGCAGCGCAGGAGGAAACAACGGCATAGATGAATGAGTGAAACGAGGCTCGAAGACAGCCAAGATGGGGTGCACGCACAGCTTTCAATCTTCAACCCACCGACTATGGAAAGGCAGACGGCGATACAAAGCCACTGCTCTCACTTCAGACGCAGCGAACCAGGGCGCTAGGACGTGGCAGTGCCTATTGTGTACCCACTAAGTGCTTTTCCCACTGGAAACGAAGGCAAGCAAGTGGCAAACTTACTTTGACCGGCTGGAAAGTTTGCGGGGTTCTAAATGTGGCGGTGCAGCACGAACACGAGAGGTGCATGTCCTCGTATCAGAGGAATCAACGATTGGCCTGGTCGAATATACACGTAGGGTAGGAGTCAATCAACGAGGCGGAGCGCAAACCATCCATTCACGTCGTCCAAATAGACGTCTTGTTTTCTGTACACTCCGGCCACGCTACAGAGGTATGTTCATTCATTCGTCCATCATCATTGTCTCGTCAACGGTCGTGGTCCAGATATCTACTGTGCTGTGAGTGATCAGATGTCTTTCGGGAAGCTCTCCAAGTCATGCGCGTCTTTAGGCACCACACTCTCACTGGGTATGGCGATGCCATTCTCCTCTGTGGCGTCCCACCTAGCCTGGTATTCCGCCATAACCTGCTTGGCCGTAGCAGGACTCAGGACGAAATCCTTCACGCTCGGAGCAGGGAAGAAGTGGTGCAACGCGACGAACACCACGGCTGCCATGGCGAATCCCACCAAGAAAGAGAGGTAGTAGACCCGAGTCCAGCCGATGGAGATGTGGATGTCATTGTTGACGTTCGCGACGAAACCTGGCATAGAAGGGAACACACCGATAGCCCACTAGACAAATATCAGCAACTACCATCGATCTAGAAAGAGGAGCTGATACGGAAAATAGGAGGCAAATGATACTTACCGCCAGTGGGGCTCGCCAATTAATACCATATGAGTACCAGTAGATGCTCGTCTTGTTCCCCCTGAAGAGGTCATCCACCTTGATCTTTCGGCGATTGACAATGTAGTAAGAAGAAATCATGAGTCCAGTCATGGGGCCGAGGAACACCCCATAGCTGGAGAGAACGGCCAAAAACGTCGACGCTGTGGCCAGCAGCTGCCACGGGTTGACCACCATTGACAGGAGCGCTGTGATGTACGCTCCTCTCCGAATGTTGATATACCTCGGGAATGTGGCGGCAAAGTCGAAGCCGCCTGAAAGCGCATTCCCGGGAATGTTGATGCCCCATTGCGATACGACAAGCGCGACGCCGCCAAAGAACCCTGCAGCTCGAGATCGAGAGCCGCCTGCGTGCATCATTGCGATGAGAAGATCAGGCAGGCTCCACAACGGAGCGCCGTATCTTCTCTGCGTGGCTGCTGTCACGAGAATGCCGACGACCGAACTCATGATTGAATACGTTGCCGCACTCGCAAGTTGGCCGTAAATGGCATCTCTTGGTCTGCGCGTGAATCGAGCATAGTCGCTCTGGTTGAGGATGCCGGCGGCGATGCCTCCGATGGCGCTGATGATGCCGTACATGATCGACCAGCCGACCGACGTGTCCTGAGTATCCGGGTGGCCTGTAATGGTGTCGCCGAATCCGTCCATGGTGGCCAGGGCCCATATCAGGAGCACAATCTCGAAGACCATGATCGAGGCCACGCCAATGTACAGAAAGGCCTTCAGCTTGTGTGGACGAATCCAGATGAGGGGAAGGGAGATCAGACAGAAGATCCAGTACGTGAGGAAACTCGCAGATGTCAATCCAGTAGCGTGGAGATGGTTCGGAATGCGCTCTTCGAGGTTGGGCCAGATGGCTTCGAGGCAGACGTAGACGCATCGGCCACCGATCCATGCTTGTACAGCGTACCAGACAAGCGACAGAAGTATGCGGTTGTAGATGACGAATGACGCACCGTACATGCCCCAGACGTACCGATTTGCAATCGGGAACCCAAGGTGGTAGTATGCGCCGGGCATGCTGTTCAGCACGATAAACACCGTGGACAGAATGGCGCCGACGACGATGACAATGATCGCTTGCCACCATGTTAGACCGAGAGCGATAAGCGAACTTCCAGTCATATATGTCGAGATGTTCGTGTTGGTCAAGACCCCTCGACACTGTCAGTGTGGCTCAGGCAAGCTCAACCTCTCGAACCCTTCAAGACTTACAAAGGTTATGGAAGGTCCAAAAGGTCCATGTTCGCCGGCCTGTCTCAATGGGTTTGATGTCGTTGTTGATCCATCGATTCGGAAGGGTGCCGCCCTCATAAGGCACCTCGAGCTTCTTCAGGAGACCTGTGAGTCGCGCCATGCCGACGAGAATTCCACGCTATCCACCTTCGACGTGGAGGTAGTTCGAAGAAGGCGTAGGAGGGTAAGGGGAACAAATGTACTCCAGGGACCCAGAAGCCAGGACTGGCACTTCACTTGATTGACCAGACGAGATAACACCCCTGCTATCTGCAGTCGACTGCTTCAGCCTCTGGCCGATCAGTGCTGATCATCCACAACATCGCCCTTTCCTTTCAAGGATGGCCTGTGCGCCATACGCCGACGTCGAGAACGTAGGACGAATCGTGCCTCTGTCGAGATTCTCCGTTGACGCGAAGGATTAAGAAAGCGTCGATGGATTTGGGAGTCCGATCTTATCTTCGGACACTGAGCATTGCTCACGACCAGAAGGAGCCAACTCGAAGTCCATTGCAACTCTGCGGTTCTTCCTTATCAACATGTGGCATGTTTCCTGCTCGGCAACACCATGAACCCCACGCGTCCAGCTCCGTCGAATGGATCCCGGTTCGTGTGGCCATTCTTCACTGCCGTTCTCGCTCTCCTACATGAACTCGGTATATATCTATGCCGCTCGCAGATCTCCGTCCCGACATCTGTCGTGTGGCAGGGAAACGTTGGGCGCCATCACGCCGTCGGACCAATGATTGCGTGATCATTCCTGCAGCTGTGTCCGGCTTGTATCTATCAGAGTACATGGAACTATCGTCTTGAATCTGGCGTGCGGACCTTGTCCATGACGGTTGAATCCTTCGCGCCGTATTAAGAGTAGGGTCTATCGTTTATGATTGTGCGATGCTCACCCGTTGAATGAGATGGCTACGTGTTCCATCCCTACAGAAGGGCAGCCTTTGACCTAGATTTCTTCTCGGCATAATCGCTCGTCTGCGCACATTGACGGTATTGGACGCAGGCATCGACCACACTTGAGCATGTACCGAATAGGCGTTGACGTCGGTGGAACAAACACCGACGCTGCCATTCTTGATACCAATGCTCTAGAGAGCGATTCGCGAGGTGTCCTCGCTACGTGCAAGACAGCGACAACGACACATGTAACTCTCGGGATTCAGTCTGCAATCAAGGAAGTCCTTGCCAAATCCAATGTCGACAGGAGCAAAGTCCTGAATGTCGCGATCGGCACTACGCATTTCGTAAACGCGGTGGTTGAGAACGATGCGAGACGACTTAGTCGAGTCGCCGTCGTGAGACTATGTGGTCCGTACACCAGGAAGGTAAAACGCCATCCCACAGATCCCTGAGTGTCTGGCTCAAACAGAGTTACAGATACCTCCTTTCTCCGACTTTCCCTATGCGCTGAGGAATATCATTGAAGGTCCGATCTTCTACCTCGATGGTGGACTTGAGATTGATGGTCGAGAGATATCTAATCTCAAACCTGACCAGATCAAGGAGGCAGCGTCGGCCATTTTGGCAGCTGGGATACAGTATGTCGCTGTGGTCGGTGTATTTTCCGCTCTCGACCAGAAATGCTTGCACGAGGAGAGATGCAAAGCCCTGCTGCAGCAATTCGAACCAAGTCTGTCTGTCGCCTGCTCTGGACAGATCGGTGGGACAGGTCTGCTGACTCGTGAGAATGCCACAATTCTCAACGCAGCAATCCTTGGTTTCGCCCGCAAGACAATCATGGGATTTAGACTTGCCATGTCCAAACTTGATCTGTCCTGTCCACTCTATCTGACACAAAATGATGGCACGCTGGCGGACGCTACTTTGGCCGCAGAGCTGCCAATTAAGACCTTCGCAAGTGGGCCTACAAACAGCTTGATGGGCGCCGCGTTCCTGCAGAGGCTTGGCCATGGAGATCGAAGATTAGCAGACAAGCAAGTTGTGGTTGTGGATATTGGAGGAACCACGACCGATATCTGTTCACTCCTACCGTCCGGCTTCCCGCGGCAGGCACCGAACTTTGTCGAGGTAGGCGGTGTACGCACTGCTTTCTCCATGCCGGAGGTCTTGTCCATTGGACTTGGAGGTGGAAGTCGTGTCCGGGTAGGAGGCGATGACGGAGTAGTTTCAGTTGGTCCCGACTCGGTCGCTCATCGACTTCCAACAGATGCACTTATATTTGGAGGCTCAGTTCTCACCGCCACCGATGTTGTAGTGGCTTCCGGGGACGCGAGGATTGGTGACTCTAAGAAGGTTGAGAGCGTCCCAAGGAAGGTTCTCGAAGGGGCGAAAGCAGACATCAAACGACAGTTGGAGAGAGCCATTGACAGGATGAAGGTGTCTTCGGCTCCGGTGTCTGTGCTCTTAGTCGGCGGAGGATCTGTCATTCTTACAGATGAGCTCGATGGGGTCGAAGAATGTCTTCGTCCTCCTCATCATGACTCGGCGAATGCGGTTGGAGCGGCCATTGCGAAGGTTGCAGGCGAGATTGACATTATTGAGATCCTGGCTGGTCGGGACGAGAATGCTGCGATTGAAGCGGCCAAAAAGACCGCAATTGATGCAGCCATTGCCAATGGGGCAGATGAGAAAGACGTCAAAATAGTGGACATTCAGAAGATTCCTCTCCAATATGTGAACAACAAAGCCACACGCTTCGTCATAAAAGCGGTCGGTAGTCTGAAAGTGAAAGATGGGCTCTCGCCGGACAGAATTCCCCACGGCACGCCATTCAACGAAGTGGAAGTCGACGAGGACTCGTCACCAGAGGCGGCCAAGGCAGAAGGTCACAACGTGAAGAACGGAAACTTGGCGAAGCCGACACTTGGTGTTGATGTTGCTTCATATCGGCCGGATGTCAGGGACGGAGTCTGGTACATCTCTCCTGTTGACGTTGAGTTGATTGCCTCTGGCGCAGGCGTGCTTGGAACAGGAGGTGGCGGATCTCCGTACCTAATGGCACTGTACACCTTGGATACTCTTCGCAAGGGCGGCGCAGGAAAAATGCGAGTCGTCACCCTTGAATCCTTGAAGGACAACGACATCTGTGTTTTCGGCTCGGGGTATGGCGCACCCTCGGTGAGCAATGAGCGGATCGGCGATGGTACGGACGTATTTGCGGCAATCGACGCTGTCAACACCATCATGGGAATCAAAGACTTTCAAGGTATTGTGGCAGATGAGATCGGAGGGGGAAACGGCTTGGTCACATTTCCCACCAGTGCTCGGTATGATCGGCCAGTCGTTGATTGCGATTTGATGGGTCGCGCCTATCCAACGCTGGAGCACGGAACACCCTATGTATATGGTCAGCCTGTGTTGCCGTTCGCGACGGCTGACTGTAAAGGCAATTCGTCTGTTGTGCTATCCGCGGAATCGAACAAGCGGGTCGAGGCATTGATACGCCAGACATGCGTTGAAATGGGCAATTCAACAGCAGCTGCTGGGCGACCACTCCCTGGCAATGTGATCAAGCAGTACGCAGTCCCGAACACCGTCTCCCAGGCCTGGTACCTCGGACGAGCAGTCCATCTGGCCAGGCAAATGAAGCTTGACTTCATCGAAGCAATCTCCACCATAACACCCGTCCGACAGCTCTATACAGGCAAGATCATTGACGTGACCCGTGATGTCTCTCGGGGGTACACAGTCGGCCGCTGCATCATCGCACCTCTCTCAACCGATGAGGAAGTCGAGATCGGTCCCCCACCGTCATCTACCTCAAACAATTCTCAGGCGCGTGAGACACGCTACCTAGCCATTCCTTTCCAAAACGAATACTTGTCGGCCGGTTTCATTTCACCACAGAACTACCATGCCCACCCAGCAACCTCAGAGGAAGAGGAGATAATTTGCACAGTCCCGGATTTGATCTCGATTCTGGGTTCTGACGGCGAAGCCCTTGGTTCACCGGAACTCCGGTATGGCCTCAAGGTGAGAGTAATAGGCATGCCTGCGCACCCATTGTGGAGTGGCTCCGCAGAAGCGCTGAGAGTCGGTGGGCCAGAGTTCTTTGAGTTGAAAACCGAGTGGAAGCGCGTCGGAGAGTACAGCAAGCCAAGGAGCGTCATCGAGGAATTTGATGTGGCTAGCTCGTGAGACGGTGCTCTAGAAAGTGGGATTAGCGTAGGTCAGATAGCGGCCAACGAGGGCGATAAGGTGTGACATGTAGCAGGCATTCTTTGGCAGTTTGGCCCAGAATTGAAGGACCAGCGCTAAAAGGTTGAGCTTGAAAATCAGAACATCGTTACAACTGTAGTAGCATGGCGATCATCGAAAAACACAACGTAGCAGAGCAAGTCAGCAACACATGACACATCGCTTGCCCACAAGTGGCATCCCAACATAGGCTGTATGCCTAGAGTCACAACAACCTCATGTTACCTCTTCAGCCTCGCGAGAACAGCCCGAAATAGTAAACTTCGTATTCGCAATCATATCCTTTTCCTTTTGTGTCCGCGGAGAGTCCCTTCTATCGATTAAGCTGCGGATGGAGTATTCCCAGTCGCGGAGAGTCGATGGATCAGCTGAATCGAGATCTGTGCAGCCCACCTTGCCATATTTGATATACGAATCGAAGAATGCGAGTCTCAGAAAGTGCTTGCTGATGTCTTGTAGACTGTCGAAGGCGTTCGTCGTAAGTGCAAGACCGAAAGTTTCAGTTCCAGGGAGCATGCTTTCGAGTGGTAATTTGGTGGACTTGGTGCGATGTAGTTTGCCTCGCAATTGCTTCGGTGGTTGTCTCATCATATAGGCCCGTGGATCATCGTGCGAGAGCACAGGCGGTCCGTAGGCAGCAGTCCCCGCACCAATAGCCAGAGAGGCGCAATGCTCATCAGGATCAAGAAGTGTCTCGCTTTCTTCATCCGGATGAGAGTGGGACGGATTCTTGATTGGTTTCTTGTAATGGTTGCGACGAGGATCCGGGTTTGACTGTTTCATGCTGCCATCCTCCTTGCTGCCATACTCGGCGCCATAGTCCTCAAACATTGGCTCTTTCTCAACAGCGTCCGTCGACGCACCAATTATCTCAGGTTGGCTCGAGCAACCTAATGTGTTTCTAATTGGAGTGGACAACGATCTGGCCGCCTGTATTCTTTGATGAGCTATCGCGGCCTTCTTTCGGTGTTCGAATTCCATGATATCATTCAGTTCCGTATCGTGTTGTGAGAGCCCGCTCAGCGGAGAATTCGCAGCACTCATTGTGCTTGTTTTGTGTCGAAGTTGCTGGCTGGAGAAAAGGCTCATACTCCAATGCTCGCCTGGCTTTGATCCGATAAAGTGGCTCGGCGATCTTCCTTGTTGGGATCTTCGGTGTCGACCATGAAGACTAGACGGTGGTGTTGGAGGCAGCCCCTCGGAGATTTGGCCTTGATGTTTGGATTTGGACAGAATTTTGAAAGGCTTTTGACCAGGTTCCAACCTTCGACCGACTTGAGAGCTCAAGCGAATCCCGTCATATGCTGGGCCCGTCACATCAGGAATAAGCGTGGTGTTATCTACAGATGAGCTGGGCCGCTGCATGTTTGTACTTGCCTCCCCAAGACGGATAAGAGGTGGTAACGCAGCATTTGGGGTCAACCATGACTGTAAGCCTGTCTGCTGAGGAGTGGCAACACGATGGTCAACATGAGAATCTGGTTCCACCGCTTCCTCGTCATCAAATCTGGTGGTAGTTTTGACTCTTCGCCTCATCGGAGGTCCTGGTCTGGGGGATGTAGACGGGGTAGTGTGACCACTACGCTGTAGATGAGATTCGGGCGTCTTTCCGGGAGAGCAGTCTCCCGGATGAGGAGTCGACAGAGCCTCTTCATCTGGATTGTCAGACGTAGCACTTCCACTCATCCTTGATAGCCCGCTTGCTTGATTGCTGCCCATCTTTACGGGCTTGATCTTAGCATTCATAGCCGCGATGACAAAAGGATTCCTCATGCTTGATCCACGTAGAGGTGAGTCTTCTGAGCTTAGTGGTTCTTGCTCAGCTTCGTTATTTACCGCGTCTCGTTTTTCTGCATCAGCCCGGGTTGAACGAAGCGTGTTCTTGTCGAAGCCGAACGTCCCACGGGGCGAAGCTGTGTCTTTGTGGATGGATGAGTTCTCTGCCCCTTCTCCACGGTTACCGGGCTTAGGATATGCTCGACGGAACAAGCTTTCCACCAATGACAACAGCTGAACGGAGCGAAGGTCAAGGAAAAGGACTTCATCCTTCGCAGGGTCGACGTTAACATCATAGCTTTCTGGAGGACAACGTATGTCCATGCAGAGGAATGGTCGCTGTACCGAAACACCGGTCGCCGACAAGACACTGTTCCGGACATGGCGCTTATAGGACTTGGCAATCTCTTTCATTGTTTGTCGTTCCGTGTTTACTGGGCGAGCGTCGACGGAAATATATTGTGTGGTGTTGCGAATCCTGACAGGATCTGACATGTCAGCATAGACCAAGAAGTTGGCAGACTCTACGTACCAGCGGATGCGGAGATCAACATGGCGCTGATGGCCCAGTCGGTGCCCACAGTGGCACGGCAGTCATCAGAGATTATTGTATGATGCGCACATACAGACGCGAGCTCCTTCCCGACAATCTTTGTAGTAATTTCGGTCAGAGATTGGTCCGGAGTCGCAGCGTAAGTCCAGTTGAGTTTGTTATTCTTCGCCTTCAGCACCTTCAACGAGAAGCGCACTTCAGGTCTTGCGAAGGCGAATGCGAAAAGGAGAGACTTGATAGCCTCCAGAGTTTTCGTGGTTGCTTTCAAAGCCGACTGTTTTCTGACCGGTATTTTCATGAGGAAATCTTGCACGCGTATCGTTGTTCCGACGGCATGAGAAGCTGAAGAAGAACTGCAATGGTCATGATACAATGAGCCTAGGAAGAACTTTACACCACCTACCTGATCATTCCCGAGGCAGCATACTTGATCGATGTTCCCACAACCTCCCCGTCCACACGAGTAGTGACAGTCACAAATTGACTCAGTTCGACTATACTTGCCAGAGCCTCACCTCGAAATCCGAGAAAGGCACCACCAAGTCGGCCGAGGTCCTCAATCGTTCTAATCTTAGAGGTACAACCACGCTTACAAAGAAGCTGTCGATCTTCAACATGGATGCCAGTGCCGTCGTCCTTGACCTGGATGACGTCTAGTGTATTTGCTGAGATCTCAATACTGATAGCTGTGGCTTGGGCATCCAGAGCATTGTCGATAAGCTCTTTGACGACTGACTTCGCATCGTTCAGGACCAGAGAAGAGCCAAGAGCACGCGTGGTGTCCTCTGACAGAGCTTCAATTGGCATCGTGCAACCATTGGGGATGCCGTCGACGTGTCCGGAGGAAACTTGGAGAGGTGACAGTGAAGTGAAATTCAGTTCCCGAGAAGCGCCACTCTCGACGCGTCGTGACTTGAAGCTGACGCGTCGTTAGCGGCTTGGCATTCTACGGCGGACGCTTCACCCACAAGATGAACTGCCTTTGAATGCCCGCTGTCTCAGCGTGTACAGGTTCTCACTGCTCTCTAAGTTGGAGGAGTCACGTTACGCAACTTCACTACGCGGCTACTCGTAGCCTAGAGCGTGTCTCTGTAGACAACCGATATCCAGGTCTGCTCGCAAAAACCTCACGCATGGTGAACGTCAGTACGGAGTACGTTTGTGTGTCTTTGAAATTGCTTGTTGTTGCTGGAAACGGACTGCTCTGTGCGCGGAGGTCACTTGCTACCATGTCGAAAACAGCGTCGCTCGACATTATCAACTCTCCCAGCACCCTCTCCCGCAGACTCATATTGCCTTCTCGTTTAGCAAAATGTCCCATGCAAGAAACATGCACCGAGCGTCCCAAATTTGACCCTCCCATTGACAAATCACGTTGCCTGTACAGTACCTAGGCCATCGCTCGCTACGGCATGCTCCTCGCCGGCCAGGTCGAAGTCCATCTGCGGCATTTCTCCCTTCCAGGTGTTGTGTGCTGCCACAGTGAATCTCTACGTGAACCAACACTGGCAAAGCGGAGTGGAAGGGGTGGCATTGCGCAAGGAGGAGCATTCCTGCGTGGTTCAGATCTCACACCCCGGAAGAACGAGCATTGTGTGGGCGGGAAGCAGGCCAGTGGATATTGGCCCATGTGTCGATCAGTCTACCTGTAAGGTTGGGCGATACATGGCTAGAGAAGATCGTAGTCGAGAAGTTGTTGGCTACACCAAAGGCAATGGACCATACCGAGATTGATGGAGCGATAGTTACCTTCGTCCGCGGTGTCGTCTCTCTCACCAAGCTGTTTTTGGCCAGGATTCAACTGCATGCAGCCCAAGGATTCCTGATCTCGCAGTTCCTTTCTTCCCATACCAACCGCCTCATGGACGAGTACAGTGGCAGTGCAAGCCGGTGGTTGTTGGCAAGACCGGGAAGATTCTTGACTATGCGGCCTTTGAAATCGGACTGAAAGTTCGTCTGCTACATTGGCCTGGTGATCAACGACGCTGTTAGATGATATTATCGAAGCGTCGACGAGATGCATGAGCCCGGAAACATAGACTATGCGAACCCAGCAGCTAGATCTCTATTGCTTGCATTATCTTGGTCGACTTTTTCAACCTCTCCAATGCCTGCCGTGACAAGAGCAACTCGCGATTACGAAGTGTGCGATTACGGAGGAGTAGCCGTCGCCTACGCGTACTCTTTTGGCCCCTGACGGGTTGTTTCAATTCTCGACTTCTATGCAGCCTGAAATATCCGCTCCTCTTGCGCGGTCCAAGACGTTGACAATAGTCCCGAGGATTGTCCTGCGACATGGAATTACGAAGGTGCTTCTGGACATAGAAATTCATCCCAAGCTCGTTACAACGACGAGAGACCTTTGGCTTAGCAATGGACACCCAACAACTGGCAAAATTCGCCGTGCCTGGCGTTGTGACACTGGTGGCATTTCTTTCTTACTCGTCTCAGTACCTTTTCAACCGTATTGAACCTGGTCCCCTCACATTGCAGCAGAAGATCACATTCAACGCATTGGTGGCGTGCATATGGATCAGCTACGCACGTGCGTGCACGATGGACCCCGGCCGTATACCGCTTGGCTGGAAGCCAGACGAGGCTGAAGGCACAGACTCGACGAACCCTCGAGAGAGGGCTGCCTCAAGGCAGCGATATTGTCGCAAGTGCGAAAATATCAAACCCCCGAGGTCACATCACTGCAGAGTGTGCAAAAGGTACGCAGGTTCCCTCGTCCCTGACTACCATGCTGATTGACTCAGATGTATCCCAAAAATGGACCATCATTGTCCTTGGACTGTCAACTGTGTATCACACTTTACGTTCCCGCATTTCATGCGGTTTCTGTGGTATGCCGTATTGTCGATGTGCTATCTGGAGTACTTTTTATACCTGCGAGCTGGCGTGATTTGGGAAAATCGTCATATGCCAAGTGTAAGCCGGTCGTCTTTTCGGATGACCAGGACACTGACCTGAATTACCAGTACCTAGGCCCGTCTCCTTGGCAGCTTGTCCATCTCCTCATCCTGATGATCGTCAATACTCTCACCGTCTTTCTCGTCTCCATCACATTCTTTCGCTCGATCTATGGTCTTGGTGCCAACGTTACCACGATTGAGAGTTGGGAGATCGAACGTCACGAGCAGCTTCTCCGTCGAGCTCGTGCTCTGGGAGGCTACTTGGATGGGCCCGATGGCACTCGCATGAAAATCGTGAAACAAGAATTTCCCTACGACATTGGCATCTGGAATAACATCTCCCAGGGCATGGGCTCAGCAAATCCCATTGCTTGGTTCTGGCCGTTCTCTGCAACTCCGAGAACGAGTGGATTAGTCTTCGAGACAAACGGATTTGAGGATCGCGGTACAAGCTGGCCACCACCTGATCCTGATCGGATGCCTCGAGTCGAACGCCCACTTGATCTCCCAGACGCTTTTGTCCATGACCACGGCAGCCTATCCCCGGATCAGGAGATGGTAGCATTCAAGCAGCGACAACAAGCAGATTTCGAGCGGCGGTCTGATTTCTACGGAGTTCAGCGAAGGAGACCTTTCCATCAACGATTCGCACAGGACAGCCTCACGCCTGTGGAGGATGATTATGCCCGCCCCGAGGACGACACCAGCAGCGGCGAAGAAGGTTGGCGAGACTCGGACGGAAACCGGCTCAAAGACTACGGCGTCGACGAAGACGTCGAGTTCTACGATGAAGATAACATCCCGATTGCAGAGTTATTGAAGCGGCGGAGAGAAGCGCGTGGATAGGCAATCTGATATAGGATCCCAGCCAGATTGTTGGAGATGTCGACCCCACGGGTTGCAGAGGCTGTTTGCCACGCACGCCACGATAAATCGCTGTGCCGTTCCCTATCGGGCAATGCGCCGCAAAGGCCGTGATGATCACAGGTCGTATACCCTTCCCGCAGGACTGGGTCCGGTTAGACGTGGGGGGCGAATGTCGCACCCCACTCCGTGGAGGCCGGTGGTGGAGTCGGAATATCAATGTTCCGTGGAGCGATTCTTTCCACCATATTGTGCCATGCTTCCCAGTCCTGAGCTGGGAGCTCAATCATCGACGAGCCGAGACACTCAGTATGGACAGGCATGATGGCGGACGAATGTGCCGGCGGGATTTCAGGACAGGAGCAGCATGATGGTGATTGCAGCATTTCAGTTCAGAGCCCAGAAAATTCCCCACCCCACGTCTCCAGATTCTGCGGGGCAAAGTTGGCAGCATGCGTGACGAACTCAGGCTCAAATCTTCGGCATATTGCCGGGCGAAGTGGCACATTTGACAGTGTAATATAATGCGACGGCCGTTCGATCCTGTCGTAGAGTCACTTTTCTTGTCTCGTAACAGCCAGACTCAGACAACAGATCAATCCCGGTTTAGATCGTTCTAGGTCGTCTGCTACTTCTACACGCTAAGCCACGTAACCAGGAACTCACGATTATATCCAACTCAGTGAAGATGAACGGCCACCGTGAGATCCGGCCATTGAAGCCCGGTATTAACGTTCCCATGGTTACCATCTTCAAGGAGAACGAGGATGTTGATGTGGACGCCATCGCGAAGCACGCCGTTAGACTCGCAAAGGCTGGCCTCACTTCGATAACTTGCCAAGGATCCAATGGAGAAGCAGTACACTTGACCAAGGAGGAACGGATACTGGTAACCAGCACCGTCCGGAAAGCCATAGACGACGCCGGCTTCAGCGACATGCCCATTGTCGTCGGCTGTGCGGCACAGTCAGTGCGAGAGACCATTGAGTTTTGCCGAGATGCCTACAATGCTGGTGGCGATTATGCCCTGGTCCTCCCTCCCTCATACTATAAGACGGCATACAAGCCCGAGAACTTTGTCGAATACTTCCAGGACGTCGCGGATGGCTCACCGATCCCCATCATCATTTACAACTATCCTGGCGCCGTTGCAGGCGTGGATCTCGACTCCGACACCATCATCAAGTTGGCCAAGCACCCCAAGATCCGTGGATGCAAGCTCACCTGCGGCAACACCGGCAAACTGAACAGAATTGCTCATGCAGTCAACGCTGCCACTCCATCGAACTCCGGATCGGGCTGGATGTGCATGGGCGGCTCGGCGGATTTCACGCTGCAGACGATGATTGCCGGCGGTTCAGGAATCATCACCGGGCTGGGCAACGTGGTGCCAAAAGCCTGCGTCAAGGTGTTCAACCTGTATGCCGAGGGCAAGGTCGACGAAGCGCAGAAGGTGCAGGCAATCGTCGCCCGAGGAGATTGGGGCGTCATCGCTGGTGGGATCACAGGCACCAAGGCAGCCTTGGAGTCATACTTTGGCTACGGCGGCTATGCTCGGCGCCCACTGCCCAAGCCCAGCCGGGACGAAGTGGCCAAGTATGAGGCTATGTTGAAGGAAGTCGTCGAGCTTGAGAATTCACTGTAAGGAGCTGTGCGGTGTCATGAGAAGGCGACCAGAGAGATAGATCCATGCATCTTGACAGCGTCCGTGGAAGTCGGCGCAGATGAGAAATTTTCCGGCAAACGTCTTTGCAGCATCTTGGTAGCGCGTTGCTCGGCGAAGCGAGAAACACTCGCGTCATAAGCGAATCGCGTGACTGGCAGTTTCGGGAGCTTTCAAATTGCTCTCATCACAGAGACACGCACAGACGTTATGTACTTCGTGTACTCGGTATTTTATCCTGGGTTAGTTATGCAACTGACTCGTCACCTTGTCATCGCTAAGCCCAGCTCCTTATTTCTTCCCGCGCCGCCTCTCAGCTTCCTGCCGGTGCTGCCTCGACTCCTTCGCTCCGCCCTCATGGCGGCACCTGTCATTGGCTTCGATGAGCAGTCTGACGCAGTGCCGCAGTCTGTCTCGAGGCCAACGCACAAGGTGCATGAGACTTACATGAAGCTGCTCCATTCCCAGCCGTTTCCCCCGATGCAGACCGCTGGCGAAGATTCCTGATCCTCTTTGGCCCTGCAAACTCCGCTGACCGACCATTCACTGCGTGCGCGACACGTTCAATTCCAGAAAATTGCCTTGCCGCCACGTTGCAAATCGGCCCATCGTCAGCCTCCGCATCGTGTTCATGGCAGATTGACAGCGCAGCACCCGTGGTACGTACTTACCGCCGCCTCTCACTGGCGTCTCCTCCCTGGCGGGTTCTCAGCTTTCGGTTGATGCTCCAGATGAATGGCCCTGCGTGGAGCTCCAGGATACTAGTCACTGCAGCTCATCTCCCGAAGCGCCACTGTTTTCCAAGGCGCTCCGCTGTCAGCGCCGCAACGCTGTGTCCGAGCTTCATGGCGAGCTGATCATCACCGCTCATCTGCCTTTTATTCGGCGACCTCATCGTCATGCCACCTCACTGACCGTGCTGGCGCCTGCTGGCTTCTCTTATATTCGTTTACTGTGTATATTTCTTTTGTTTTTGCAGTTTAGATGCCAAAACATGCCCCAATGGCTAATGATCAAGGTCTCAATCATGGCGATCACCAGCACGACTCAATCACCTCTGTCACCGAGTGCATCTTGGGGTTGAAGGAGAAAATTGACGAGAAGGAGCTCCCCGGCTTCAGCGGTCTCATTGATGACTGGTTTAACCCCGATGTTCCCGTCGACTCGGAGCAATTCATCCGGCGGTTCTTGCACGTCTTCAAGCAGACCGACCAAGACTTCACCTACGAGAAGATCGTGGGAGACTACGACGATGATGTTCAGGAAATCTTCAATGATTTCGTAGACGGCAGAATCGACGCCACGGAAGCAGGTCGGCGATACAATCAGGCCACGGCCGACAGAGTGACAAATCGACGAGGAGACATACGCAGAGGAGGTCTCGCCACTGCCATCGCAACGGATCCAAATGTCCTTGCGGAGCCTATCAATCTGTTCCTGGCAGCTCCGACGAGCATTCCGTCGCGGATACGTGCCCTCTTCGCGAAGGTCTTTCCCAAGCTGAAAGATCCCAAGCGTGCTCTGTACATTCCAGTAAGTGATAAATACTCACGCTCACGTTTTGGCCTGCTGAATCATTCAAGACGTATAAAAACCTGGAATTCATCAACCATGGCCGCACCATTGAGAACACCCCGGCTCTGACTTGTGTGCCCAACACTGCTCAAGACATTTGCGACATTGTCAAGTTTGCGAAGAAGCAGAACATGGGTGTTCGAGTCGCTGGCTTCCGTAGGTCTTTTCTTGTGGGAGTCTTATTGAGAAAGGGTGAGCTGACTCAACGATCAGGGCATTCATGGTCACCGGTCTTTGGGCGTTCCGACAAGAAGCACCGCCACACCAATGGCGATATTCTCATCTCGACGCTCGGACTCATTGATGCTTCTGTACTGCCAAACTTCACGTCTCTCCCGACGGACATCTTCCAGCCTCGAGCAAAGGACCTAAATTCAATCGTTGTCGTCGACCACAACTATGTCAAAGGCCCGCCGCTCCGGGATGGCAAGAAGTACGTGAGGGTGGGCACGTCAACGACTAACGAACAACTGCGCAGATGGTGTATCAAGACTGGCAAAGTCACAATGCCGATGAACATCGTTGAGGTCGAGATCACGATGGGTGGCAGCAACGCAACGATCTGGTATGGTGACGCTACGTCCAACTCGGGGTGTTTGCTGATAACAAAACCACAGCCACGGTGGCGGAATCAGAAACCCCACCATATCTGACCTGGTCCGAGCCATCGAATACGTAGACGCAAACGGCACGCTTCGCAAGATCGATCTCTCGAACCCCGACATCCTTCGAGCAGCTGCAGGTTGTTTCGGCCTCATCGGCGTGGTCACACATCTCGTCCTGGAACTCGACCCAATGTCATGCGCATTGATGGAGCCGCGCAAGGTCCCCGTCATTGAGGCCATCCCACCGCCACCAGATATGCCTGACTCGATGATTCCTGCCCCCCTACGACCTAAGCATCCGCTCAGCCCAGAACGGAAAGCTGAGATCCAGCGAGACTTTGAGACCCGCGCGACCACGACAGACTACGCGGAATGGTTCTGGTTCCCATACTCGAGCGAAGTCTGGGTGAACACATGGCACAAGACCCTAGATACCTCCAACGCGGTAGACTATCCCAGCGACGCGAAGACCATTCTCCAAGTCCTCGGAACGTTTGCCACGCAGATCGCCCAAGACGCCTCGATCCTTTTGAAGTTAACGCAGGCCCTCCCAGAGACGCAGACCAAGCTGCTCACCTGGCTGGCGATGAAGAATCTAGACGACATCGGCCCCCACGGTGAGAAAATCAAGACCTGGGTTCCCGACGCGCTGCACTTTCAACGAGGTGTGCAGAACCTGCGCGTCCGAGACCTAGAGGTCGAATTTCCACTCCAACCCAAGCTCAAGTCCGCCCCGCAGCTCAATGGCGCCGTGAATGCCAACGGACACGTCAATGGCGCTGTCTCGTCCCCTCCGTCCACTCAAAGCTCGGACGTCGACCTCCTCCTCGTCCAGCGGGCCTGGTGGGACGCCATTCTCGCCGCCTACGCCGCCATCAAGACCTGCCCACAGCGCATGCCGCTGGAAATGCGCATCATGGCGGGCTCGGACGTGACCCTCGCCCCTCAACGCGGCCACAAACTCGGGACCTGTGCGATCGAAATCCTCACTCTCCACAACGTGGCGGACATCTGGCCCGCGTACGCGCAGGGCGTGCTCGACAAATGGACCGGATATAAAGACTCCGAAGGCGCACCAGTGCCCGTGCGCCCTCATTGGGCCAAAGAGTGGTACGGGTACACGGTCAAAGGGCGGCCTTGGGAGGAAGTCCTCCGCGACGAGGAGAGTGCCAATGGGGGTTTCAAAAATGAGATCGCCGAGTGGAGGGACCTGGTCGGCAGATTGGCCCGGCGAGACGGCTGGACGACACTCGATGCCAGACGGCGTTTCGGCAACGAAGTCCTCGACAGGTTGTTCTGGGGTCAGGAGGACGGCCCCGCGAGGCTGAGCGGCAGCACCATCGCGAGCGCGGATGAGGCCGCGAAGTTGAAGAAACAGAGCCCAGCAAGGAAGTTGTTGAAGAGCTGCTTTGGGAAGTAATCCAAGGCAGGCACCAGCCGGGGTGCGTGAGACGCATCATACAGCAAGAAAGAAGGGGCAACCTCTCGGTTTAAAATGGAGGATGTAATGGAGGGTCGTCGTGTTCTTTTTTGGTGGAAAAGTCGGCACGTCCGTGGAGGGGTAGTAACTGTTATTGTACTGGAATGCATGTTGGCTAGGATGGGGGCTCAGGAGCGTGGATCTCGATCTTTCGGACAAAAATTATATCAACGAACACCTACCTACCTGTCTGCCGTACGACTGTATTAGCGGCCTTCCCACTCCACCACCTCGACTCCAGGAACCTGGCTGCCGGCTGACACGGATGGGATGAGCAGCACTCGGAATCAAAAGGCGACACGGTATTGTGATGATGATGATGATGATGATGATTATGAAATGATACGAGGAATGTTAGATCAACAATGAACTGACGATAATGAAGTGACGATAATGAAATGACGGGCAAGGATACGCCCTATATTCCGTGCTGCATTACGTATATGAAGCATCGTCCAGCTTTAAAAGCACAGAAGTGCTCCTACGACGTTCTCATTCGATCTAGTAGAGGTCGAGCAGTGTTCTTGACACCGTGAAGATGCATAAATAATCCCGAAATGCAGGAAATCAAAGCCATACTACGGAGGAGAGCACTTGACCCCCAGACTTCAGGGACTCTTGCGTATGGCTTTCTCGCTATCAATCTTCAGCACAACGCCCTTCAGTAAATGGTATAGAATAGGATGAGATGTGATACCATATCCGTCCGTTCAGTCTCTACTATTGCTCTGCGCAAGCGAAGAGGACTCTACCTATAGTAGCCTTACTTCCATCTTCAGTAGACTTTTCATCTCCAGCAGGCTGACTTCTATCTACAGTAGATTCTACACTCTCCCACACACCCAAAGCAAGGCTCGCCGACCCACCACCCAACCGCGGCTCAATACCCTCTCCTCCTATCCACGACATTAAACATGCGCTCACCACGCTCCCTCCTCGCCCAGTTCGTGATGAACAAATCATACGCCCTCTCACTATACTCCCTCCCCAATCCACTGACGTGGGGCGTGAGGACCAAGTTCTTCGCCGTCCAAAGCGGATCCTGGGCCGGCAAGGGTTCCGGGTCGGCGACATCCAACGCGGCGCCGACGAGGACGTCCTCATTCAGCGCCTTGACCAGGGCGGGCTGGTCGATCAGCGCGCCTCGCGCGATGTTGATCACAAAAGCCGAGCGAGATTTCTTCCCCGGCTGGTCTGCGGGCGGGTTGCTGCGGGCGAGGAGGTCGAATTCGGCCGTGCCGAAGAGGTGGCGCGTCGCGGGCGTGAGTGGGAGGGCGATGATCAGCGCGTCCAGTCCCGAGGCCAGGAACGTGTGCAGGCTCGCCCGCGTCGTGCCACTGTACCATGCTCGCGGGATCGTGCCGTCTGGGTCGCCCGTGTTGGGGACGATGTAGCCTTTGTCTTTTCGGGAGTCTGCGCATGCGCACGAAGTCACAGCAAGCGTCAGCGTCAGAGTCGGCCTCGAGGGCGTTGAAATGGTAAGAAGGCGGGTGCAGGTATGTACATGTACTCAGAGTCACACTACGTACGTACCTGCTGTGGACCGTGGACTCGCCGTGTAGGCGTGCACATGGGCGCCCATGGCGTTGAATATCCTGGCGGCTACGCACATAGGTAGTCAGGTTAGCACAGCAAAAGCACAAAACAGGTCAGGTCAGGTCAGGTCAGGTCAGGTCAGGTCAGGTCAGGTCCGGGGTTTTTGTCTGGAGGCGCAACAACCACCCACCTTGCCGCCCGATACTTCCATACCCGGCTATGCCGACCGTCTTGCCCACCCAGTCCGTCGTGCTCATCAGGAGTTTCCGATCATGCTGCCATCGGTGCGCCTTCTGGCCCTCGTACAGCACGTTATAGTGCTTGCTGGCCACCAATGTGGCCATGATGATCCATTCGGAGATCGGGGGCCCATGGATGCCCGAACTCGTCGTGATGGGGATATCGCTGTCCGTGAAGATGGGGTGGTTGGTGTAGTGGTCGACACCCGCAGAGAAGAGGTGGATGAGTTTGAGGCTGAGAAGGTTAGCATGTGGCCAGATATTGACTGGGAGGCGAGGAGACGGGAACAGGTGGTGAGGTACATACTTTGGCGCGTCCTCCGGTCTGGCAGGCAGAGATCCGAGCGTGACCAGGATGGTGGCTGTTTTCCAGAGTTCTGTCGATGCCCGTCACGGTCAGCGTGTACACGGCCTGGACATTTCCTTATCGAGGGGAGAAGTCTTCCTTCTTGGACGGCCTCACAGCTAAACGAGGGAATTGCACTCAATGGCGCGCGTCCATGGCGGAGCAGATAGCATACAGCCTCCATTCACAACGGACCAGGATGAAAACACCAATGCTTTTGCTTGCTTACCGACAGGCACCATGCGTGAAGCGATCCTTTTCCGTTCCGCCACTTCGCGCACTGAGATGCCGTCCATCTATCATCACGGACGGACGTGGTACTGACCTGTCGGGACACCCTTCGTCATATCCCCTCCCCACGGATTGGACGACAGCTCCAGCTCCAAGTACGTGATCTCAATGTAGGGGAACCGTCGTTTGATCTCGGCGGTGATGTGCTTCGGTTCGGGCTCCCAGAGCGCGATGAGGAGATGTTCTTTATCCGGACCGCCACCCATTGTCGCTGATGCCCGAGGCGCGGAATGCGGTCAGGAAAGAGAAGCACAGGGGGCCGAGTTCTCAACGGATGTCAGTATACTAGTTGTAGTAGGTGCCTGACCGGGGCCAAGAAAGGTAATGTAGATAAACGCAGAGATTCGCGCAACAAAGGTGGAATCAAGCATTGGGAATAATGCCATAATGTGGCGGAATCATGCCATTGTCGGAGATAAACGGTATGCGAGGAACTGTCATATCATGAGTAATCCAATCGGGCGGCCTCAGGGATTCCGCAATCCGCTGAGCATGAACAATTTATGCCGTATCGTCGTACACGTGCCGGTCGGTAGTCATACTGCCCTGCTTTTGATGCATATGCCCTTAACAACGCCAACGCTTCGAGAGGCCGAGACGACACTTCAACACCAAAACTCCTCGTATCAAGAATGCCTCGACTCGCCTTTACTCAGCCCGTCGCCATCGCCGCCGAATCTGCCAACAGTCACCCATTGCAGCTTCGTCGGTTTGTCGCTTCGGCGTTCCTGCAGTCCGCTCCACCCGAGTCGCTCGTCGCCCATCCTCCCCAATCCACCTTCCTTGATCCAACATCCGATGACAGCACGGACCCAGCACAATTTCTCCTTGATCTCGTTCGTACGCACAATTTCCATCTCGGACCGGCGCAACGAATCTGCCATTATATCTTCCAGAGGCAAGCTCAGCTCATCGCGCCGTTCCATTGCTTCGCTGCTCACTATGCCGTGATTTGCAAGCCCGACGGCGTCAGTGGGCATAAGGTACACGCAGTTGACTTGCCAATGGCCGTCCTCTACGCCCGGCTCTGAAACCTGCTGGTAGACTGTGATCTTGGTGTGGTCCGGAAAGTTGAATTGCAGTCCGCCATCTGCGTACCTCCACACAGTAACGTTGCCGACTCGTTGGTAAAAGTGAATAAAGTGCTTGCTCTGCTTGTCGCTGGTTGCTCCGTGACCCCCTTGTTTGTTCATGTACTTCCCAAACTTGTCCAAGAGCGCGACCTCCTTCATACGTTCGGCTTCGCTGCCGGACAGTGTAGCCTGGATGGCGTTGGCCGCAGCTACTTGACTTGGGTGGCTCTGGAGATCGAGTAAGAAGTTGCTTGCAGGAACGTCTAGACGGACCATCCCCATCCGATAGTCGGTTTGTTCGTAGAACTCCACGTCCTGAGCGTCTGGCCCTTGGGGCACAAACTGGTACTCGAGCCCTCTCGCTCGTTTGATTGTGTGAGCACTTGCATTCCTGACCACAACGCAGCTGCTAGGCATCTTGTTGTCCTCGGACGATTTGAGCACCATTCCAACCGTGCCATCAGTCAGGATATAAGCGATCCCATGCCGCGTAGAGTAATCTACCCATTTGTCGACTCTGGGGTAATCGGATCTGGGTCGGACTTTGCGAGTGCCATATGCTGACCTTGGCCGCTTCTCCAGCGTGCCCCTAGGGTCAAGGACCGCGTGTAAGTCTTGCAGAGAACGAAGAACGGCTGAACTCGACGAATGAGGCACCAACGAAGCCCGATCCGCCCTGCCAATGATTCTGGCCTGATGTTTGGGCGACGATGTCTGCGGAACTGATTCGACCCGCGACGTTGCAAGGGACGGTGGCGCTCCTCGTGCAACGTGTCGCTGCTTGTCTGCCTTTTCCGGCGCTGTATTCCTGTCATTTCCTGTGGTGAGCTGCAATATGCGGGTAGCAACATCTTCCGAAGCTCCCGATGAACCAGAGGAAGAGGAGCCGGGACGAATCAACGTGGCCTGTCCTGGAGCTGCCGACTCCTGAACACTTCTTCCAGGCTTGTCCCCGGACCGCAGAGGAAGGCCGACCGTAGCACTTTTGACCCTCCGGCTCTCCGGCCTCGCCTGGCCTGCTGTCTGCCTCGCGATCTCGCCTACAGCCTCAGGGGCTGTTGTCGATCTTGGCAATGTCTTGGAAATCTGTGATACCGGTTCTCGCAATGTTGTGCTTCTCGTGGCGCGGATTGTGGCCGCTCTTAGAGGACGTTCCCTCAAGAGTGCTTGAAAGGGAGGTTCGGTGGAATGTGTTTGCTTTGGTCTATCAATATCTTCGTAGTCAGCGAGCGCTCGTCGGACGGCACCTGCCGGTAGCGCTTGTTGTCTTTGTTGTGCTGCAAAGCTTTGAACCGGTTTTGATGCGGCAGGCATAGTTGATGGTGCTCTCGGAGCAGAAATCGGTAATAACTCAGCTTCAGCCCTCGAAGCAATCGAGGCCGCAGGCTGTTCTGATTTTTGTTCAATAGGCTTCCGACTGCGGACTCGCGATGGGAAGAGAGGATGCTTCTGACGGGCCGTCCATTCGGCATGAGCATCCGAGAACTGCCTGTAAAGGGTCCCTGAAGGCAAGGGAACTATCGGAGCGCAGCCCTCTCTGTTCTCGGCCTCGATCTCCACCAATGTCGAAATGTTGACACCAACACCGACTCCAGCACGAGCGCGACCATCCGAGCCGATACCGACACCACATTCACGACAAATCCTGCTGTGGCCGATACCGTAACCAGACACTACCTTGTCTCCGCGAGGATCAGCGTTTTCAAGCCACAGAGGCTTTGTTTTCAGACACGAAACGTCCAAAACATCAGCAATGGCTCCCATGGTGAAGAATTCGTGCTCCACCAGCTCGTCCATCTCGGGCCTTTCTGCGGAGTTGAGATTCAGGCACGAGGCAACGAAGTCCTTGGCCTGTTGCGGGATGTAATTCTTGCTGTCAATCTTCCATTCGTATTCTAGTGTCCTGAGCTTGGTATAAATTTCCTGCTGAGTTTTTGACTGAAAGGGAGGAGTGCCCATCAGCATTGCGTAGCAGATGACTCCAACGGCCCACGTGTCGACCTTGTTGTCGTGACCACGGTTGCTAGATTTGCTCAAAATTTCGGGAGCAATGTAGTTGGGTGTACCGCAGAGGGTCGTTCGGCGGTCGTGCTCATCCGCCATGACTGCGGCCAAACCAAAATCCCCAATCTTGATATTCATTCGAGCATCGAGGAAGATGTTGCCCATCTTCAGGTCTCGGTGGATAACCGATCGCTTATGCATATATTTCACTCCTCCACAGATCTGGATCATGTATCGCCGCACCTCAGGCAGACTCAGGCATGTGCGAACCTTGACCATTTCAGTCAGACTACCGTTGGGACACATCTGAAGAACGACGTAGGTGTGCTCGTCAATGGTGAAAGCACGGAGGAACTCGACAATGTTGGGATGGTGCATCTTCGCATGGATCTGTAGTTCTGTCCGGAATTTCTCCATCATCTTCTTCTGCTCTACTTTGGCCTTGACAACCTTCAGAGCAAATACTTCGGATGTTGTTTTCGACTTCCCTTCAAAGCAGACCGCGAACCCTCCTTTTCCCAGTTTCCTACCCATGATGTACGTTTCTGGGCTTGAGCCAGGCTCTGTGATCGAGGTCGGCGGTCTCCATCTGTCGTCGATGCGATCCGGATTTGTTGGCTTTTCTTCGGGCTTTGGTCTTGACTCTGGTTTGGGTCTCTTGGTGACCTTTGGAGAGGCCATAGGGAGATTCACTGATCGAGGCGAAAGAACCTCCATAGCAGGGACTAGGCTCGTGGGTAGTCCCAAAGCGCCTGTCAGCGCCTCTTAATAGTCGAGTGGTCAGCTGGAAGATGAGTGAAGTTCCAATGCAAGCGGCATTCAGACCAGGACGAAAAGAGACAAAAAGTAAACATTGACTAGGCCAAGTTTGGAAGCGAGCGCTCGTTGCAGTGCTTTGTCACGTGGCTGGAGTCATCCGGTGAGGGGCACGCCCGTTAAAGCCGCCGTCGGCTCCGGGCTGCCTTCTGCCTAAGCGAGCCCAACCCAAACTTGCACTCAGGCGGGTGGTCTTCACAACCTCCTGCAGTTGGTGACTCAAAGTCGGGTAGAAGATGACGGGAGAGCATTGTATAATGGCCATGCCAGCCTAAGGCCAGCTGTGGCTTCGAACATGTGTTGATGGCGGCTACTCCACCAATTGAGGACTTCGTCTGAAGATGTCGCTGGCTCTAAAATTCACGTCTCTTGCTGTCCGTACTTTGTCCAAACCAATAGCTGTGAGTGTCTCTACAAAGCTACCAGGAAGGAACTTACTGACTTATAAAGAACTACATCAAGAGACAAGCTCGTGAACATGAGGGCTTCCGGCGGACCTGCATCTCCTTCGCGCAGACCCTGCACAGAGTTGACATGCGATGGCGGATAGGCCTTCTCCAAGATGCAGCTGCCATAGAACGACAGGTCGCCAAAGACGCGGCTGCTGATGCCGCCAAGAAGCACAAGCACAGCAATGTTCCTACAGTCAAAACTGAAGCCCAGACAAAAGCCGACGAGGAAGCTGCCGCAAAAGCTGCGAAGGAAGGGCACGAACCTCCAAAGCCCCGTCCGAAGCCCAAGATCAGACCTCTTTCCGAAGCTAAGGCAATTGAGACCGGCGCCAATTTCATAAGCGAGGCCTTTCTCTTCGGCGTTGCGGCTAGTCTGATACTGTTTGAGTCATGGCGGCAAGGTCGCAAGACGAATCAACGAAGGAACGACGTGGCCGAGAGGTTGGCTGAGTTGGAAGAGTCTGAAAAGGCGGCGCGGTCAGCGTTGGTCGAACTGGAGCGGGAGGTCCTGCGACTGAGGGCCAAAGAGAAAAACGGCAGACCCAATGGACCCGCGAGAATACTACCGAAGGAAATATACGAAGAAAGAGTTGAGGAGGAAGAAAAGCCTGTGAGTTGGTTTTCTCGACTCAAATCTCTTGTCTCGGCGGATGAGGAAGATAAGGAAGCGAAAGATTCACTCGCAAAGAACGAGCCAGGGCCTGCGGAGAAGATTCTCAAACAGTCTGATAAGGCACTCGAAGAGAAACGCAAGCAACAGCAGGCTCTTGAAGCACCAAATAAGGAGACTTCTTCGCAAGGTCCCAAGCAGTAACAGTCCTGTCCAGGGAGTGGAGGTGTTTGCACGGAATCCGCCAGCTT